TCCTTTTTTTTTTTTTTTTTTTTTTTCTCGAAAAAAAAAGTAACAGATAACGAAGTTACGTTCTTCTCTTATCATAGTAGAATCCACTTGTTAATTCTCTACTCCGGTAGGTTGTCATTCCGCATATAAATACACGTGGGCACGTGCCGGTCGAGCATGCATTCCCCAACCTGCAATAGATGGGTACGACACGTATATTAATATAACTTTAAAGGGCAGTGTCATATCGTCACAATTCCACGCATCAGCCTGGAAATTCAATCGATAATTTCTTTAAACTCGGCCTTAAATATCCAACCTAGAAATTCTTTCTTTTTTTTTTTTTTATTAGTATTATTATTATTCTTTTTTAATTTTTCTTTCTTTTCCATTTTATTCGTCTTTTTACTTATGCTACGACGCGTGTAAATATGCTAGCCAGACGATATCGAGTTAAGAAATCGATGTGCCCGATGCGATATCCGTCTAAAGATAGAATTTGTTAGATGGAAAACAAAAGAGAGAGAGAGAGAGAGAGAGAGAGAGAGAAACAAAACGTGGATCAGTACCAGCGACGGAAGAGAATGAGAAGGAGGAGAGGGAAAAGGTGCCTTTGAAGCGACGACGATCGCAGATGAAATCAATCGCGGTGAGGGTTGGCGAGAAACGGCGAAACCATGCGGAGCGGCGTCAAGCGGTGAAGGTATCTCAAACATGGGGTGCTACGCCTTTTATAAACGGATGAATGAACGAAGATGTTCACAATCGTTTTAAAGTATGACCCACGCCCTTCTACCTGCTGATATCTATACACGCATATTCTCTCTCTCTCTCTCCCCCTCTCCCTCTCCCCCTCTCTCTCTCTCTCTCTCTCTCTCTCTCTCTCTCTCTCTAATGCATAGTACTTGAAAAACTTAGATTTATGTTTCTATTCAAGAACAAAAATATACTCTGCTGGAAAAGTGCTTTTCTATTGTTATCGAGCGTTTTCTTATTCGTCCAAAGAAAAGGACTATGTTCAAACGGTTGAAGTTAAAATAACGATTCTCATAGAATAGTGGACGAACAAGCTAGAGAACAGGTATCAGTTTAAAAGTAATCGAAGCCATGTTGAGGGATCTGTTACAGAGACCTATCGGAAGAACAATGTATTCGCTGATGTAGGCGACCAAAGAATGATCCTCTCTCTTTCACCCTCCTTATTTTTCCTTCTTTGCATTTTGTGAAAAAGGATACGGTATGCAGTTTTCCCCCTTAGAATCTATCCGTCATTCTCTCATACTATTTACGAACTTACCGAATTTCTTACCTGAACGACTGGCTTCTTACCTAAACTCGCTAAAAAGGTATATTACACCGGAGTCGGTTTGCGGAGGGTAGTAGAATTCCTAGAACTAGCGACACCTGTCTAAGATGCTAATTTTGAACGTTTCTTCTCAAATGTACCTGAAACATTCCACTTGTCTTTTATCTCTATCTCTTTCTCTCTTTTTCTTATGCATTCAATTCTTAAAAAACTAACCGGTTTTTATTGATAATCGGATCGAACGTGCAAGAGGTCAATATACCGGGCTACGATCGATGATGATTATTAATAGCGCAATTCGTGTCAAAAAATCGACCTCGTGTCGATCGTTGTCTTATTTATGGAATGACATTTGCCTGTCCAAGAAGAGATTAATAATAATTCCGAATAAAAACATCGATTTCAGAGAAGCTCTTTATTGTCGTCAATTAAATTTCGCGTTTTCGCCAAAGTAAAATAGTACTTTAATATATTTTGTCAGAATATTATAACGAACGTTCTCGATTTATATATTCATTTGTCTCCGTTTTCATCGAAATGGTGCTGTTGTCTCCTTTTTCCGCTGCATTCTTTAATTCGATAAACAATTTCATTTCGCTCGATTCTCGTAGGACATTTAATTAACGTAGAAGACCAATATTTTGAAAATATCAAATGACCTCGACGTGCAATGTGATACGTAGTGACGATATATCGAGGCAAAAAAATGTCGTTTGTATTATAACGATGGAATGTGCAATTGAATTTTGCTTCGAGTTGATTATTCAAATTCTTACAGCGTTAAGGAGGTAGGTAGGCAATAGATTCAACGTGTCCATTCATAAAAACAAAAAGAAACAGAAATAGAAACAAGAAGAGGCATTTCCGTATCTCGTTTTCCTCTCACTTCAGAGATCTCTGCGTTAAGTTGTGAACGAAGTGCGAGAGTCGCACGTGCTTCGTGTTGCCAAGCGTGTAAGTGGGTAAGGAAAAAAAAGAGAAAGAAAGAAAGAAGCGACAGTGTTCTTGAGAGAGAGAGAGAGAGAGCGAGAGAGAGAGAGCGAGAGAGAGAGAGAGAGAGAGAATACGAAGGTACGATTCGTCGCGCGAAAATGCGACCACGTAGGAAATTCAAAAGCGAAAGATCACGACGAATGATGGCGAAGAAAGGAAACAAACGAACGACGAACGTAGCTCGGCAAACGTAGCCAACTTCTTCTCTGAATAATTTTACTTCTGTTACACGCGTAACGAGCCGACGAATGGTTCTTCTGTGTTATATATTGCGTGTGTTACGCGTACATACCTGTAAGAAGTCTCCTACTTCGTTCGACGGAAGAAGATAGAGAAAGAGAGGGAAGGACGGAGAGAAAGAGAGACGGGGGAGGAGAATCAACGTGGAAAGGGTGGGAGAGAGTAAAAGAGAGGGGCGCGAAAGCGAAGAAGGACGCGATACAATGGTGAAGAATCTCTGGGAGGGTAGGACGATGGGTAAGGCGAGCCGAGCCAAGCGATTCGTGACGCGGCAAGGCACGGGACAAGGGAGGGTAAAGGCAAGGCAAACACCGTGAGTCAGAGCCAAAGTAGGAAGTTAGCCAGGTTAGTGCATTCCCCTCTTAATCCTTTCGGCACATCGGTCAACTACGAGTCGTCTCTTCTACTTTTTCTTAGCGTCAAAAACATTTCCTCTCTCTCTCTCTCTCTCTCTCTCTCTCTCTCTCTCTCTCTCTCTCTCTCACACACACACACACACAACCACACAACGCACGCACGCATGCACATAGAACACATTCATCTATCTCGAAGCCATGTCTCGTTCGAATTCAATTCGTTGTTGTTGTTGTCGTCGTCGTCGTCGTCGTCGTCGTCGTCGTCGTCGTCGTCGTCGTCGTTCGTTATGACATTGGGATGCTGGTAGGTAGGAATTTCTAGTGTCCGTAATCACTTCGTTTTCCATCTTCATTGCTGCGTGTATCTTCTCCGTTGTTGATTCGCTCTTCGATCTCTTTCACCTCTGGAATCAAGAGTCTACATTCTCTTGTAAACGGCAGAGATCGAGCTGCGAGATGAAAGCGATACCATCTCTACTTACTTACATGCATTCGTGTTTCGGATGATTCCTACGGTCGTCTCCACGCACGTCGTCCTTTCTTGCGACATACACACATATATATATATATATATATATATATACATATATACATACATATGTATATCATGTATGTATCGATACGTACCTCTAAATCCGTATCGAATCACGATTTTCATTTCTTTTTCTCTCTCTGTTTTTCTCTTTTTATCTCTTCCCCCTTTCTCCCTCTTTAATATCGTTATTCGTTTTTTTTCATATAACAAAGCTCATATTTCCAAAATTACGTTCACGTGGTGTAAATAAGACTTAGAGAAAAGTATTTAGATTTTACAATATACTGATAATATATGTGATTTGATCATGAATAGGTTATGTTCACGATGCGCCAATAAAATAGTATACTCCTAACGTTCTCTACTACGAGCGTGAATCGTGCGTGGGTGTTATACTCACTGCCGTCGGTCGTGTGAAACGACCTGCTCTCTTTTCTTCGAAAGTGTATTTCTCAAATCCCAACAGTGTGCGATAAGCACCCACGTTCCGTTTCGTTGCCAATAGACGAAACCAAATGAAAAACGAACGTAAACTTTGTAAACTCCTTTATTTTATGGAATCTCACAGTTAATTGTAAACTTTCCCATGTAAAAACTAAATCTCTGATGAGATTACGTTAAGAGAGGAAGATGAAAGTGACCGATTGTTTAATATCCGTGCTATTGATGATGCAAATTACAATATGAATTTAAAAAGAAAAATACTTTAATGATTTTAATGGGTTAATCTAGTTGAATCTAAAATTTGATGTTAATCGAAAAATTTTTGTTTACGATAAATATTTTGTTTGGTCGAATGTTTCGTTAAATTATAAGTCATTCCTCTTTTAAATGTATATAATATGAATGTTTTCCACTCTAAATCGTACATAATCGTCGACACTTTAAATAGATACGTATAAAAATTTTACAGAGGAAGAAGTGTATTTTTCCATTTCCGATAACAACATGAAGATTACATACAGTTGTTAAAACTTACTATTACTTTATTATTTTGAGAAATAACTTCTGAGAAGTAAAATCTTAAATCTTTGTGTATATACTGCTTAGAATAAAGTGGGCCCAATCGCCGAAAATATTTTACTATTTGGATCTCTCTGTCCTGCTCACAATGTAAATGAGTGCTGGCGGTCCCAGTCTCGCGCAAGACTTCGGTTGTTTTCGACACTACCGATCATACCCGAATGATGCACATGCAAGCGTGATTCGTACTACTGTCAGCTTGCTGCTTCTTTGTCCCCGAGTTGTCTGACACATCATAAGATATTATCAAATCCTTATTGTCTAGTGTGTATTGGTTATTAAGTCCGTTTCTATAGAACTTATTACCAAGTATTATTAAATACTGATATAAACATGAGTTATTTTTTTTATTTTATTGTTTACAGAAGCTTATAAGAAAGTTTAGAATCTTGAATAAGCAATTCGTTTTTTAATTTTGAACAAATTTTCAATTATGCAAATAAAAATATTTTATTTCTTAGAAATGAAGTAGATAAACTTTAGTGATCCGATGTTGAAATGAAATATCTTAAGATCTTCATATTAACTCTTTGATAATTCTAATTGTTGTATACTTTCTTATATCTAGGACATTTTATTAGAGGTTCGAAACAGTTCAAGAAGATACAAGTGTTTATCTAAGAAAAGATCTTTTGGAGGAGGATGCTTGGCAGTTGGGGTTGGGAAGAAGTATTGGAGTTGGGAGAGGGAACAACACCCCTGTTACAAAACTGTCAGAGAAGAGAAAGTCCAGATTCGACACATCCTGTTCCAGATAGTCGGGTGCTGAGGTATGCTCCCAGCCGATGTCACCCCCCCGCCAGCGTCAATTCATCACAGTACAGCTTGCAGCCTCCTCTCGACTGTACAGACTGTAAGTGCTATATACATGTTTACAGATTACTAAATAGAATATTAAATCTTTATTAAAAACTAAATGTTGGATATATAAATTCTTATTTATTAATTATTATTTGACATTTTTAGAGCAGCGTGAGGTGGCAAAAATGCTGACTGCTCATTCTGAGATGCATGAAAAACGAGGTCCCTTAGGAGGTGGACAATATGGAGCAGGCGGGGGTGGTGGCACTTCGATTGAAGAGAAATGTATTCAAGAACAACCACCCCCGCCTCCTGCTCCTCCACAAAGGGATCCATCAGATCCAACAATTAGCGCTAAAAAACTTCCAAAGAAACGAAAATTTGATCCATCGGAACTCGAAGAAATGGATAAATGTAGTAATGTAACAAGCAACGTTAATAATATGATAAATACGCGTGCACCAAACGTATCTATTGCTTGTTTAGTTCAACATTCAAGTTTGGCTAATCGACAGTCTCCGCAACAACAAGAAGCAGACTGTTACCAAGTAAGTCTAAAATCTTAGTTTTACTTAGATCAAATTTAAATCATACTGATATGTGCTTAATTTGTGATTTTTTATTAGGTGTCAACACCATCGGTGGTAGTTTTACCTCCTCAGAGTACAGCTGTAGATTATTCTTTAAGAGAAGAACCTATGCGTGCTCGTCCTCGACCTGCTACGGTTGCTATTGATCTCAGTGAGTGGCGTGACCACAGAGTGTTAGCTTTAAGGGATTCATGTTATTATCCAGGTGTTATTCGTAATGTGATTCATGGAGAGATTCTCATAGAATTTGATGGAGAAAGGAAGTTAGTGCGTTATAGTGATGTTTTAGGTGCAGGAAGGTATGATGTGATAGGGGATGCTAGCCCCTCTTTAGGGCAAGTGACTTTAGATGCAAAAGTTTGCATTAGATGTCCAACAGCAAATAGTCACATAGACGCATTAACTAAAGTGTTTGTGAAAGGGACAGTGTGCAAGATATTAACAAAGCCTAATCGTTTTGTTGTTAAAATACCAAGAGAAGACGATCAGAGTGATAGTTATGTAGTGAAACGTGCAGACCTGCGTTTGGTGCAACCTCCTTGGTGGGATGAATTAGAAGAAGGACTGGAAGATATTGACTCTAACAGAGTTGAAGCAGTTGGTAATGTTTTTTTTACTTTAGTATCCTGGTCTGTAGTCACAATAAAAATACTATAATGTATACTTTTTTCTTTTCAATTTAAACTCAGATCATGGATATAGAAATTCTGTGGAAGCTTCAACAGCAGTGTCAATTTTACAAATCCATCATACTCCTCACCATGCATCTCATATATCTACGCATAATGACACAACTGGTTATTATAGAACAACTGGTACTAGTCCTCTTATGACATTAGGGACTCTTGCACATTCTGCTAGTACAGCATTAAGTAACGGAAGCCGACCATATGACGAACTAGAAAGTGAAGATGACTTGGATAGAGAAAATATTACATTTCCTTCAGATGCAGGTAATACAGATTTATAAACGTATTTCATATAATGTTTTATAATTGTGAAATATACATTAATAATTAATAATTAAAAGATTTAATTAATTATAGACACATATATTCAACTTTTAGATGCAAAATTATCAGGAAGTAGTAAACGAAGCAGTATGCAGAGCAGAGGAAGTACCAGCAGTTTAGTTGAGCAACGCAGTATAACACCGCGTTCTCAGGCAGCCACACCCAGGTAATTATCTATCTATTCTAAGAAACAATTAAAAAAAACATTTATAATATTAAAAAGATACATTTAAATATTTAATGTCAATTAAATAGATCTCAGGCGGCTACGCCACATAAGTATAAAAAGGGTGATGTAGTGTCTATGCCCAACGGAATTATGAAAAAATTCAATGGGAAACAGTGGCGTAGACTTTGTGGTAAAGAAGGATGTTTAAAAGAAAGTCAAAGGAGAGGATTCTGTTCCCGACATCTCAATCTGAAAGGATCTTGCCTTAGAGGCCCGACAAATGCGTTTCCTGGGTAATTATTATGATATTTTTGGTGACACTTTGATTACAATATCTTAAATAAGTATTATTAATTCTTCTTATATAGAATTTTAGTTACAGTAATTTTATTTTACAGTGGAAAAATTGATGGAGAAGAAACATCAAGAGGTTCTGATACTTCTCCAAACTATGGAGATAGAAGAATCGCAGGACGCTTTGATCAAGATGAGACTGAAGCTGCTAACATGCTTGGTAAGATAAGTGGGCATTAGTTTTATTATCAGGAAAGGAACGCGATCATTTTTATAAACCTTTTTTTATTTTTATTTTAGTATCTTTAGGAAGCTCTAGATCAGCTACACCAGCCTTTTCATCGCCAACAGGTCAATCTTCCATATCACCGTGTATAAATCAGTCTCCAGTACCACCGTTAGGCCTTAACCAAAATAATGTATTTATGCCTATTTCGAGTCCTGCACATCATGCAGCCCCCTTAATCTCGCCTAGCGCAAAATGGAAGCATTCTCCTACGCAGTCAAATTTTTTGGTTCAATATCAGCAGCAAGTAATTAAACCTGAACCAAATCGAATGGTTAGACCAAGTCGACCAGCTCCTACTGCTCCTGTTCCAGCAAGTATAGGGACAAGTGTAATAAGAATCTCTCCAGTGAGTCGTGGAATGCCTGGACAAAATTTAACTTTGTCGTGGTCAGAACAAAGTCCACCACCAAGACATCCATCAGTCGTAACGTCTATAGCTCAACAACAACAAGGAATTATATTGCAGCATGCATTGACATCAAGCAACAATTTTCCTAATCATTCTGAAGTTCCTGAACAGAATACACAACTTCTAAAACCATCGCACTCACCTCATATGTCTTTATCTGCTCCGCCACCGCAAAATTTGACTCTTCTACATAAGCCACAAGAACAACCAGTTGATTATGCACAGACAGCACAGCCACAAAATCAGCCAATTTATGTGATGCAACATCAGCACGAAAAGAAGTACCTTGTTATCAAAAATAATATAGATATCTCTACGGCAGGACATATAGGTATTCAAGATGATAAATATAGACAAGGTTTAATGAATCATTTGGCACAGCTTCCAGCATCGTTACATCAAAATCAATGTCAATCATCTCAGACTCCTGCTGTGTCCGTCCATATCGATAAACTCTCTGTTTTACAACAAGTAAGTTTGTCATTTTTTAAATGCTTTTTGTGTGTTGCTGAATTAATAACCACATTGTATAATAGATAAGTGTATATTATTCAAAAAAGATATTGCGCGCGCGTTTATATAAAAAATACATACATTACTTAACATTTTTAAAAGATGTAAAGAAACACGAACACTCAGTTTGAATATTCTTACTTTTCTAATTTTAGTATATTATAAAAACTTAGAAAAAAAAAAGAAAAAAAAAGAAAAAAAAAAAAAAAAAGAAAAAGATGTATTTATTTTCGAATTTATATATTTATTGTAAACATTATTATGTTAGACTAATAAGATTGGGATACATACATCCGCACATATGGATGTACAAAGGAATTCAGCACCATCCACGAACGTTGTAATGTCAGCCGCAACAGAAGTTACTAATCCATCAACTCCTACCAGTGTCTTCCAGCATGTAATCGTTCAGCCTGGACATCTAATACAGATCCCGAAAGCTCAACCTCCTAGAGAAGAAAATTCAAAAAATAATGGAGTCCTATGTAAGTTTACATTGTATAAATCATGCATTGCGCTTGTTCTCTGTGTCATCTGGTACTGATCTGATACATTTGGATATAGAAATCCAAAAGCTTAATTGAGAAAGATATTTTATTGGGTACAATTGTGAATGCAATATAACTTTTGTCTAGTGAATTGGAAAGAAAGTAATGTTCTCTATAATATTAATTATTCATATTTTAATTTCTTTTTTATTTTATTATGTTCATATACCTTTTATTTTGTTCTTCCTGTGTGTTATAATAAAAGTTCTTTTATTTTATCATACAGATAAAACACATATAAAATAAAAATAGTTAACGAAATATTAACGAATCAAGACATAGTAACTATAGTTCTAAATGCTGAGGACATACCTTCTGTACAATATCACAAATAAAATTTATCTGTTACATTCATTTAATTTTGTTAAACTTACAAAACGATATAGTACCCAATATATGTAAAATAATCTTTTATTATAATAAATAACTTGATATAACAAAAGTTATACAATGTAAGCAAGACAATACCTCTAAACTAAATGTAATGTTAAATACTTGCATCCAATCAAACACACATGCGTAATCCAATTAAAATAATTACCAGATTATGACAAAGCAACATTACTTTCTTTCCAATCTAATCTCATCAACTCATTATCGTAATTCTGGATTCATGTCATCACAATATTAGTGATGTTTACTAAACCGTAAGGTTTCACAGATGGCAGCCATGATGTTCCTTCCGCATACCAGCCCCATCCCCCATCATTACTGAATAATGCAGTGCGCAACTGGAAAAAAGGTTTGAGTTCTCACTGCCAAATGAAAGATAATGATTCTTCTTGTAAATTTGTTGTAAATTGGAGCTTATTAATGGTATATGATAAAATATGGCATGAATATGAATATAAATATATGTGCGTGTGTATATATATATATATATATATATATATATATATTTATTTATTTATTTATTTATTTATTTATTTATTTATTATATACACACACATACATACAAATTAAATTTTATCAAATGTAAATATCAAGGTTTGATTATATTTGTGCATTGAAATGCGATTATTGCATGAATTAAATTGAAATAATCAGTCATACAATAATTATTTGTGTACATATATTTTTCACTTTAATTATTTTATTTTTACCTTTCCTTATTCTAAGCATCCTTATACACGTACAATATATTTTAGATTATTATCCCTTTTAAAGTTAACAATTTACATTTGATTTTAATATCGATTTATTAGTATGTTAAAATAATTTTATGCAAAATTAAAGCAGCAGTGTTTGCATATAGATTTTATGCAATATACCATACTCAATTTTACAACAAATATAACCAATTAATTGAATTTTTGCTTCACTTTAACTGCATTTCACATAATATTTCATCCAGCCAAGAATATCTATGTGCTTTAAATCACTTTAATGTTGGGGAAGGGTGTTTAAATAATTATTGCAAGATTAATCTATGATTTATTTGGTGGACTAATGCTTTATAATAATAATAATGCTAATATTATTAGGATTGCAGGAATATTATTATTTTTGATATTTTTTAACATCATATAAAATAAATCTATTTTAATAGTGAAAATGAAGGAATAAAGATGTAAAATTATAAAATAACACATTCTATGAAAAAATCCTTTTTCACATTGTCTTTAAAACTATCTAGATTATTTTATTTCTATATTATTATATTTATCTTTTACTGACGAAACATAAATTACAAATTAATCTAAATTTCGATTATTTGTGCCCAAGAAAATAAATTAACTGTAGTGACAAGTGAATGTCAATTTATTGATTTAATTCATAATTTAAATTTTATTTCACATTCACTAACTTGTGTTATTTTCTTTACAATATAGCAACAATCCTGTGTATTCAATAATTAGTTACCGCAGTAATTTGCATCAAGTGCTATTGCCTAATTTATTATTAACCATATGCATTTTTTATTAAGTTATTTATTTCATTATAGCTTTCTCCTGGCAAACAACAGTTTTGGATCAATCAGAGGTGAGTCCTCCACCATCTGCTCTCAGTCCACCATTAAGTGCACCACCGATTCCAATAAGTATCAATACATCCGGCGAGGATGGCTCAGCACCAGGTGCAGATCAAATTACTCCTGCTGAAGAAGAAGATGATGATGTTTTTGAACCAGAACCGACAACACCCGCAGAGATCGAAATTAATACTAATAAAAGGCGTAGTCAATCCCTTAGTGCTTTGCATTCCAAGGAGCCACAGAGTCCACTAAAGGTAAGATGTTATACATTCATAAATCAAAACCTACTCTTTGCATAGTCTTCCCTTTGTACAGAGTAAAAAATGTAAGAAATTGTGATTTTACAGACAAAGGATAGAATACGTCGACCAATGAACGCATTTATGATATTTTCGAAACGGCATCGCGCAGTTGTGCACCAAAGACATCCGAATCAAGATAATCGCACTGTATCTAAGATTTTGGGAGAATGGTGGTATGCTCTGGGCCCTGAAGAGAAACAAAAGTATCATGATCTTGCGTCTGAAGTTAAGGAGGCACATTTCAAAGCACACCCAGATTGGAAATGGTGTAGCAAGGATAGAAGAAAATCGTCCACTACAAGCTTTAAGGGTAGCGACTCTAGAGGAAAATTAAATAGTACTGGAGAAGAAACAGATATGGGACCACCGACGGAAGATGTACCTTTAACGCCAAGAGGAACAGACGAGGTGTCTGTTCCGGTTACGACGGTATATACAGAAACTCCTACTATTGAGGTAATGTCCTTATTTTTATCATGTAAATTCAAACAATTAAAAGAAATGATGTAACTGATTTAAAAGTTTTGTTATTATGTTTTACAAATACGATCTTTTTGTTTTTTATGTAGATTATTAATCAGACACATGCACCACATCGTATTTTGGACATACCTTTACAAATTGATACTACCGAACCTGAATCGAAACAAGACGAAGACGCTAATGGATCAGACGATGATCAAATGGTTATTTGCGAAGATCCTCAACCAGAAATAGATTTGAAATGTAAAGATAAATTGACTGATAGTGACAATGATGCACAAGAGGAAGATATGGACAAAAAATCTTTTAATCAATCGCAATTTTCACCTGTTAGTGGGCAAAAAAGAGATGGAGTGAATGTCAAACAGGAAATAACTTGTAGACCTAAACCTATAAAAGGTATCTTTTATTGTTTTAAAGATTTATTATATTATAATATTTACATTTTAATTCTAATATTGAATTTTTATTCCTATAGCACGAATACCATCAACAAGTATAGAAACCACAACCAAGTATCATCATACTTCCATTGATAAAGGTGGCACAGTATCAGTTTTATCAAGCACTTATCCTTATCATAGTCCGATAAATCCAACAGGAGTATCAGGATTTCAACCTACGGGTGGTGCATTTATAACCATGCCAGTGTCACCGAAAGTTATAAAACCGGAACCAGTGAAAAATGAACAACAATATAGTACTCAATATAGCATGAGTAGTCTAGTAGCGAACATTCATACTGACAATGGAAGAAACATACCTAAATTTACAGCTGCTCCTGTGCTACATTCAGTAAGTATTTTATTGTATAAATAAATTTTTATCTATATCATTGATCTAGCTGTATGAATATAACAATAGTAAGAATACATTAAAATATAATATAATGGTTAGGCCTATACCATATACAGTGTAGCACTTCCTTGACACAAATTTGCAACAACTGAACATGTCTTGATTATGTCTTAATATCAAATATGTAAATATATATATGTATATGTATATATGTATATATATGTATATATACACACACATATTTATATACTGCAATAGAATTGTAAGTATTGTTAATATTACAACATATTATATCACACTTCCTTTATGAGCTACTATATACAATACTAACAGATTGGAACGAAACCTATGATGGCTCTGTTAAAACAACAGCAGCCGTTGCAGTCTTTAGCCACTACCGCTCATCCCCTTACTTCTGCTGTCCCTTCTCAACCACCGTTCACTCTTACATTGCTTGATAACAATTTGGTGGCTATTTCCAAACCACAGCAGGGACCGCAGTACCTTGGCCCTACAACACCGCATCCCCGGATGTATTGCGGCTTCAATATACCTATCTCCGGTAAGTGTATACTTTGATAACCATTTTATAACAAATTTGAAATTTTATTATATAAAAAAAAATGCATACATATATACACACACATACATACATATACATATACATATTTCTTTTTTGATTTATGTATTTATTTCTAAATTTTAGATGCTGGAAGCCGCAATATATCTTCGCAAAATTTGATCTCCGGTACCAAGGTTGAAGCACAAAGTGTTATCGTGAGCAAACATTATCCAGTTTCTACAAATTCTACAACATCGCCTTATAGAGGAATCAGTCATTCTATCGCACGTTTAGCAGAATCTGATAAAAATGATACCCAAACAGCGTCGAATCATGCTCAATTTTATGGTAAACATTATAATACAGATAATTCTAATTTATTAATCCCATCAAAACGTTCGAATGTTTATTAACTCTTTTATTTAAATATATAATGATATATTTCTGTTATGTTATGTTTTAGGGAGCAATATAAAAAGTGAGCAAGATAGGAAAGATACAGGCAACGTTCTTCTAACATCTTCAAATGATAAACTTAAACAACCACTTACACCACATACACCGCATACGCCTCATAGCAGTCACATTAATAATGAACATTCATCAAATAAATCATATTCTGTAGATGAAGATCCAAATAGCGATATAGGATCAAATAAAGGTCCTTTTATGCTAGCACCGACACCAGCTCAACTTGGAAGAGCACCATTGCAAAGAAGACAATTAATGGGTAAGATAGAGATATAAATTATTTATTAATATAAATATAAATATAAATTTTAGACAAAAAATCAAAAATAGTACTATGTATTATTTATGATATTTATATACAGCAATGCCCTCCACAACAACCACAGGAGAACATGGACTTTCAGTGTCTCAACAACGTTCTGACCAAAGTCGACCACAGGGAAATACTTCTCAATCTTCCGAATCGATGCAACAACAAAATATATCGGAGTCTCGTACATCCCCATCCCCTTCAACTAAAAAAGGCTCCTTCTTCAAAAAGAATGTCGAAGATGGTATGGATAGGTGTGTATTCAAAGCTTAATAAATTATACTTTATTATGTCACTCTCTATCGAATTGATGTTAAAATATATAACTATTTATAAAAACATTTACAAATGTATTTCAATTTGACTTTGATATTAAACTATGTTTAGGGTTCTTGAACAAGTAAATTTTCAAGAGAAATTTTCATCGTTACCAGAATTTAAACCGGAAGATATACAGAGCCCAAGTGCAATCACTATAAATACTCCAGGTTCTTCTGGTCATAGCACTGTTACTTCCGGATTACACTCATCAAATTTACAAGCATCGATGCAAGGTTATCGGAAGAAATCTCAAGGACCTCATAGAAGTAACTGTGAGTGTTTTTATATTTCTATGTGTGTTAAACTTTGTGTCTTACATCGATTACAAGTAAAACTTCTCCATTTTATTTTTTTTTAGTAAACGAAGATGATATTGATTCTGATGCGTCAGTGTCCGCTACGCCGAAATCAACTTCGAGTGTCAAATTGACGGGAACTACATTCTTTGGTCCAGATTTTAATATCGACGCATATAGACTTAATACAGATATAGCAGGAGAAGTAGAAGATACTTCTCCGCGGACACCAAAAACGCCTGTAGGAGGTGTAGGAAATGCAGTAGGGATTGGTAGAAATGAAAATGAACGTGGTCATAGGAGAATGTTGGAACAACGGAGACATCTTGTGATGCAATTATTTCGGGAACATGGATATTTCCCTTCAACACATGCTACCTCTACGTTTCAAGCAAAACATTCTGATATATTTCCTAACAAGACGAGTTTACAATTGAAAATTAGAGAGGTCAGACAAAAATTAAAAGCTAATTCAACTCCGATGAGCGCTAACAGTTTAGTTAGCCCGCTGCCTGTTTCTGAATCCTCGCCTAATGTGACTGGTAACTATATCGATTTGAATAGAACCATAGAATATTTTTTATCATTTTAAGATTTTAAAATGTTTCGTTTTAGGACCATTGACTGCTCCTCCTACGTCGATGGGAGCACCACATTCACTGCCTGTAAGCAGTAGTGGTAGCTAGCGCCCACGTGCCAACTGTGATACTGTGCATCCCATTACTCCACAACACGAGTATATCATTATACTTTGAAAATGAAAGCGATGGCTTGATAAAATCGCTATTATGCCATTTCTTCGGAATATGTAAAATACAGCAAGGCTTTAGTGCAATTAGAACCTTTGTGTAATCTGGTGAAAATAAGATGTAGATGAAAACATGACGAAAGGCGACAAGGCGTGTTAATATCCAGGCATCGGTAATATTTTTATGTTGTATATAATATTGAACTACTATCGACCGCTTTTTAAAGTCATATCAGTTAACTTATTATATTAATGTTTTCAAATATATTCATTTTTATCGAATACGAAATGCCGAATCAGATATTTGTACAACAGATGAATTACAATAGGTTACTGATTACAATATTTATGACTAAATTAGGTGTTAAAGATTTAATTATTATTAAAGATTTAATATACTTCTTACTGTTGTGAAAGAAGATAATCAGTTTATTTGTAATCGTAATTTAAAGTACTTTTTAATCCTCTTTGTTACTTAATTTTTGTAACAAAAAAAAAAAGATATGAAATTCTCCCCAAATACATTGCCAATCAACGAAATTATTTTAGTAATTCTAAACAATTTTAATAATCTGCAATAGAAAATGCTTGCAGAATTTATGAACGTTAATAATAAGCACGTATGCTTTGTTAGGAAAAACTACTCACTCTTTAGTATTCTGTTATTTCTATATTTTTGAGGATTGTAATTATATGGGTCAATGAACATCTGTAAATATTATTAGTAAAGAACGCAAAATCTCTCAATGCGTAACAACATTACACATATCTATTATATTATCCAATTGTAAAATTGTATTCAATTGTAAAATCTATTATAAACAATGATGTATAGATAAGATATTGTAAAAATTGGTTCTCAATTTGACCGTTTAATTATTATTCCCTAAATAGCTAATCACTTTGATAATAATTGATTGGCAATGTGCGAATAAAGGAAAGTAATATTACTCCACATTCCAAACGCGCAGACTTGATTTTATGAAGCAGTCAGTAATAAGTTTATAATAAGATTTAATAGTTATTTTATTAAATCATTACATTTTAATATAATTTCTCTGTGCAATTTTGAATATTTAATAAACGTTTGTATATTAACACGCCTTTACCAAATCATGAAAGGCCTAAGCCATTGTTAAATATTGTTAAAGCTGCTATAATGAGATCCAGTACAGAGAGAGAATTGTAATTGAAGAGTATTAGGATAACGAAACATTATAATATGAAATCAGAGTTTATATACTTTAGTTATACTTTATATATGATAAAGTTGGAAAAGAGAGAAAGCTATAGATTGAAAAACTGCGATAAACGTTGCACAAAATTTACCTGATGCAGACAGCAAATGTGTTTATTTTACTTGTAAATACTATAGCATGACTCGTGATAGAAGGCATCCAGAGAGTTTAAAATATCTATAATGCTGAGTCTTAATATTTTGAGATAGTAGCAGGTCTTTGGTGATTTGTAGGACATAAAATAGGAGGTAAAAACCGTGCCATCGTATGGCGACAAGCTGGAGAAAGCATACGGTATAATTCCCTTGTTTGTTAAAAGTTAATGATAAGATGACACTTGATATAGGTAATATGTAATGTTTCCCATATTCTTGAAAGTACTTATTTACCGTTTTTAGAGTTTTGCTGAAATTCAACGCACTCATATATATATGATATATATATTTTATCGGTCTTTTAAAATGATCTTTATTTTTTTTTCTTTTTTTTTTTTTTTTTCACCATCTTAGATATAAGTGGTTTTATTCTGGCTATGTACTTTTCCAACCTTTTTCTTTTTGGCCATGACAGATGTTTTATTTCTATTTTCATTTATAGCTTTGAATCCATTCAAATTATTAATAATTTGCGATAAAATGAGTCATGAGTATAAAATCTGTGTTATACGGAAGTATAATATATTTAATATTATACGAAAACCAAAATTTCAAATTTAATGAATCTTATAGAAATTTATTATTATCTTTAATGCTTCAATTTAGTTTCAATTTAGTAATTGTTTTAACAGAAGCATTGTTTCTTAACAGTTTTAGCAAATTTGTTACCTTACATTAATACCACATATAATAGTTAATTTATTTTAATATCATTTTATAATTTTTAAACTTTCTCTTTTACGTTATCCGAGTATGATATATCTCTGTTTCAGTGCGTTGAATTTTAACAAAGATTGTTGAATTGGGCTGTAATATAATTAGAGATATGTTTATAAAGCGCACTTTATAAAAAAATTAAAGTCTTGCGCAACAGTACGCATATTGTAGTTAAGATAGGATGACTATCTATTCTACGTATTTTGTAAATAAAAAACGCATAATACACACATATATATGCGTATATATTTATATACATATATGTAAGTATATCTATGTGTGTATATTATATTAATAATATACATATATATGACAATATAAATATGTGTATTATTAATGTACATATATATATTATATATATATTATTAAATATTTAGGATATGAATAAAATAATAGGCTAGAGCATTATAATTTGCAAAGTAATAGTTATTATAAACATATGAGCAAGAACAGGCTAGATTAGTTACGAATACGGGCCTTCGTATATCATGGATTTGCATTCGTGATGGTTTCCTCATTCTTTCCCGATAAATACAAAAATATATGTGTATTCATCTATGGCTCTGCATGACTGATATATGTATACTTACATATACGCATGCATGGACGTACACATATATTGATTTATTCATTTTCTCATCACTTTTTGAATTATTAATTCTATGAGCCAATTAACGCACTAGTGGCAAGTAAATAGTATATGAAAGAGGATGCTTAACACCTATAATGATCTTTTACATAAGATCTCAGTTTGCAATTGTGATTTTTAGCTTCTTTATATATTTGTTTTATTAGAACTGAGATATCTTTATTATGATTCAATTTCACAATAATCTAATTAACGTGGGCTATGTGTATGTAAAAGATGTTTCTTTGCTCTTATACGTATCAAATCATTAAAAGTATGCATTAAAATCTTTAATTGACTATAAATATATTATTTTATCAATTAAAATATCTTCATATTGCAATATTTTTATTATACTTTTAATTGCATTGGTATGGATATTTAAATACATTGTCAGATTAATTTTTTGTTTATTGTAATGTAAATATTGCGTTTTAAGAAAGAAAAAATAAACAGGCAGAATATAAGAAAATATAAAATGAATTTTAATAGTTTTCAAATTATATTATAATCAGTATTTTTTTTTTTGCAATGCATGGTGTCTTTCTTAAAATTGTCTGTCATACCCAGCCATACTAAACATGTGAGATATATTTTAATATTTTGGTATAATTAGTTAGTAAATATGTATCACATATTAAGATATAATTAACAACAGGTTTTTATTAGGGATAAAGCATCCTCTATACTTGCCACGCTTAAAGAAATGAAAAAAAAATACTATATTTTGTACTTGTGTAAACTAGTGAACTACTTTCCAGTATTGATAAGATTTTTGAGCATGCTTTGGTATTTTCTTCCCCCTTTCTTCGGTTAAAAGAGGTGATGAAATATGTTCTACGATTTAGCAGCCATAAATGAGACTGTGATCTAGAAAAACAAAAGTAAAGTAAAATGGCGGCTATTCTATTGGCAATTTCTTCACCACATCTTTTCCTTCGATTACCTTCCTCTAATTTCTTCCTATATGTATGAAAAAAAAAAATTATGCACTCAAATAAATCATCCTCTGCACTTTTTTTATTAATTGCGTTAATGTATTTTACTATATATGCTCTTAGTTACTATTGTCCATTATTATAATCATTACTCTGTTATATCTTGTTTAATTTTGAAATATTTTTAAAACTGTTATGTGATTATATATCAGACAAAAACGATGTTATGAAAATATAAGCATACAAAACAGTAATAAATGTAACAGTATACAAATACAATGCCACGAAAAAATCATATGATGAGTCTATACACACACGTACGTATACGGTAAATTCTAACAAAAAAGAAATATAATTATATTCAATTAGTACATTTATGCATGTGTATATATATGTATATATGTACGTGAATATTCTCTCTTTCTCTCTATATATCTATCCATCTCTCCTTCTATACATGGTGTGTATATATATAATATATAATAAATAAATAAATAAATATATATATATATATATATATATATATATATATATATATATATACGTATAGAGAGGATATTAGAATATTACACACATATACATATATATATATATATACACATACCTAATTCTTTTCTTTTTATTTAAAAAACATGATGCATACCAAGAAATAAAAGATATACAGGATGTGTCTAAAGATAAATCTTGCATGGTTTAATATCAGCTTAACTATAATGAACAGAGAGAAATATATTAAAATTTGTTTTCATTTTTGTTTTATTAAATATTACATCTTAGTTTTACTATTGCAATGATATAAAGTAACAGGTTTAATAAAGTCACTTAAAGAGATCGATTAAACTAAAGAAGAAAAGTTTGCATTGTCTTGAATTTTTTCTTTTTAATTTAACCAAGCAATCATAGAATTAACTACATAATAATAAACATAATATATATAAACATTGTATACATTTCTTGATAGATTGCAATGCTTGTTGTCCAAAAATACTACATAAAGATAATCTCACGAATGTTTTAAGTAACTATTGAATTAATTATTATTTGCACTATTGTATCAACTAAAACATAAGATTGTATTTGAAAAATTTTAAATGATCTTTACATAAAGAAAAACAAAATGAAAAATTATTTTTTTTATCTTTCTTAGATTGTACTTTAAAAAATATATTTCTTTATTTCAATCATAATTCGATGTCCGTTTCATGCAATAATTATCTAGAAGCATTCTGTATATACATATATATACAACTGTTAACCCTTAAGTATGAATCATGTACATTTTAAGAAAAGAAAACTTTTACTTTTTAAAAACTAAATTTTGTTTTTTAGAAAGTACATATAAACGAGCACGTATGTACACGCATACACACATAGTAGACAGACAGACACACATTTTCGTTCAATGTTTACTATGCATTTTCTAAAACATTTGGCTGAAGAATTACAGTTACATTAATTTAATAAAATGAATTGTCTGCCTTTTAATTATTTAAGAAAAAGTGTATATACATGAAAGATAATTCTATACAAATCTAAATCTGTTTAATGATATTAAAATTATCTCAATTTCAAAAGGAAGCATTACAATTATATCAGACCATAAGAAATAATATTGATAAATTCTTGTTCTTCGATTAAAATATATATGTATATATACACACATACATATATACATTACATATAATATATATTACATATATATATACATATATATATATATACATATATATATACATATATACAATACATATATACAATATATATATATACATATATATATATATATATATATATATATATATATATATACACACATTATTATGTATATATTACTACTTATATTCACATACTCTATTCTTATTAGTATATTATTATTATTATTATTTAATTTAATTCTTTTAATTTGAAGTTAATCATTTTTATTGAATTGATTCATTGATAAGTACCATTGTAAATAAAGAATTTATTACAATAAAACGGTACTTATTTATGAATCAATCCGATATATCTATCCTTGACGTTGATTAGAAATACATATATTAATCGTTTAAAGTTATTAACGATTATTAATAAAACTTTTAACGAAGTTGCTACGTAAGAATGTGAAATGAAATCTCTCACGAACGTATTCGCTCATATACACACGAATATACGCGTACACATGGATACATCAAAGAAATCTCTCATTAGTATCCTCATATGTATCTGCGATGTATATATGTGCAAACAAACATGAAAAAAAGATTAATTATCGGACCAACTTAATTAAAAATACGATCATCTTTTGTTTTTGTTTTTGTCGACCAATTCGAAGTGTAAAATTTTTTCTAAGGAATACCTTAAGGCAATTGTGTCGAAGGATAATTATTGAATGTAAGGATAATTATCAAACGACATGCACAAAAATTTTGGCTATAAGATGTTTAATATTGTTGTGTTGAGCACTGCGATATATACAATTCAAGGAAGAAGAAAAGAACGAAAGAAGATGACGAAGATGAAGATGAGAATGAAGATGATGATGATGACGAAGGAGAAGAAGAAGGAGCAATAAATATGGTAATTTATGATAGTATTCGATGCGCTTCAATCGTCTAATCAATTCTGAGTACGACAATATATTTTGGTATGTATCACCTAAAGGTTACGCAAATAATGTGTTGAAGACGAATGTTCTTAGAGAGAGAGAGAAAGAGAGAGAGAGAGAAAGAAAGAGAGAGAGAGAGAGAGAGAGAGAGAGAGAAAAGATATACGAATATCAAAAAAAAAATAGAACAAATATTCGACATTGAATTTTTATGTACAGTTGTATATCGTCGCTTTGCTAATTCTTTTTTTTTTTTTATGTTATGTATATGTATCGTGCGTGTAATGTGTGTACACTCTATTCTGATAATCAGATTCACCTTTCACGTTTTGAGAAAGTCAAAAATTCTATACATTAAAAATTTTATACTATTCTTAATATAGCAATGATTCATATTCGTTCGTTCGAATTTTGTTTCACATGATAATTTTACCTGTTAAATTATATTTTTAAATTACAGTGCAAGAGGTACATACATTATAGAAACGAATACATAACATAATTTTTTCCTAATAGATATTACGTTTAGAACTATATTTTATAACAACTAGAAATATGAGGGAGAATATATATGTATGTATATATTCGTTTTCTTTCCTTTTTTTTAATAACGAAAGATGACTTAAAAGTGAACCGATATTTAAACATGATTTAACGTTTGCTAAATATATCTTTGTGTGTGTGTACGCGCGCGCGCGCGTGTGTGTATGCGGTATGTATGTATGTATGTATGTATGTATGTATGTATGTATGTATGTATGTATGTATGTATATATATGTATTTAGTAATATAAACTCAGTTAACATATATACAATTATTATTAATAATTAATTAATTACAGAAAGGGAGAAGTAACAGTTTCCATTGTATGTACGTGAGAATGAATGATTCGCAATAAAACACATTCAAAGGCCTCTATGTACGTAGTATTACATATTATTAATAATGTTAATTGCTGTGAAAAAAATCTTAGAACATTTCCGATTACGAATTTTCAGGAAATAGATAAATAAATAAATAAATAATATTATATACAAGAAATATTCTTCGTCGAATGTATATTAAAGAATTATATATATTATATATATTATATACCAACGTCTGAATATATAAAAATGAAAAAAAAAATATTGGACAAATGTTATCGAATGAAAATGATGTAATTAATCTGTGTTGACAATCGCCAATGTTCTGAGCTTAGAATGATCGATAAAGAAAAAAAAAAATAAGAGAAAAGAAAAGATAAAAAAGCGTCTTATACCATCACGTGATTCTTGAGTTTTTAATCGTCACACACGATATATAAATAAATAAATAAATAAATAAATAAATAAATATATACATATACGGAGATTTATAATGGGTCTTGCAGAATTGTCTATATTAAATAAATTATACGGCACGTTCATGCGCTTCTACACACACATATCCATATATATGATATATTGAAGGGATACGTCATTATTGAGTAATCTAATTGTGTATCTTATTATAATAAATACAGAAGTTTGCACTTATTTTCTCAACGCAGAGAAGGACACGCATTTAGCTATAACGATTATTTATTTATTTACTTATTCATATTTCGCAGCTATATAATATGTTCAGTATTCGTTAATATACTGCGATTTTAGAAATATGTAAACTTTAGATTTGTAAAATATATTTTATTAACGCATATTTTCCTTCTATTTTTAATGTAAATATACGATTCTAACTACGAGGAGGATCTACGTGAAATTCCAACGAGCATTATTTTCAATCAGTTTTCTGAGAAATAAATTTAATCAACATTTTATAATGGTATATAACACAAATATTTATGGATGCAGTTACAAGAAATATACTGCTGATACGTTCTTTATTTCTCTCTATATATATAATTAATCAATTTGTGAATTCCGGATGTAGTTGATCTCTTTTGTAAATAGTTCGTATTAACTAAGTTCGTATTAACTGAGTTGATAAATAAATGGGCTCGAGAAACATATATCTCTTTTTCGTTTATAATAAACAATTATTAAAGTAGTTATATATTTTCTATTTTTTTTCTTATTAACTATATATAAGAAGTATAATTTATCAATGATCGTAGTGGAAATTTTGTTTTATCGAGAATATTTGTTATTATTATTTATTGTAATAATTGTTTATCAAAATAATTGGGTATATATAGGTTAGGTATATACAAGGAAATGTTACAAATAATTTATTAATGATTGCAGTGGTAATTCTTTATCGAGAATAATTGTTATTATTATTTATTTTTATAATTGTTTATCAGAATAGATATATACATATATTCTATATCCGATATGTTACTAAATTATATATATTAATGATTTTTGTTACTATGGTAAGTATTACAACTAATAAAAAAGATTTAATATGATTTATACGAATATTTTTTCTAAAACTCTTTACGAACATTAAAATTTCTTTGGACTTTGCCAAGTATACGGTCCTAAGAGCTCAATGTATGCGATCGGGTTGCCATCTACGTTAAATTTTAGACTATTAATTTGAATATACATGATATTTGCTATACACATACACACACACGCGCGTTATTTTTATGATTGAAATATTTAACTTAAATTTGGAACATGCAAAACAGAATTTTGAATATATAATCTTGACTTGAAAATTTTCTCGCTAGATGGCGAATCGATAAAACTCAAAGCTCAGTAACGTAGTTATAGAAATCCAAAAATTATTCTTTTACAGACTAGAAATGTCTGATTTTACACTATTAGATAGAAAATATATATATGTATGTATATAAATTTATTATATTATTATATTATTGTATTATTAATTATATTATTATTATATTATTATTATATTAATATTATATTATTATAACATTAATGTTCAACAATAATAAAAGTAACCTAACAATATCTTGATTATATAATCTTTGATACATTATGATGTATTATTTGACGCAAATAAAATATGTGAGTTAAATATTATTGATAGCTTTTAATAATGTGTTATTAACATTATTATATTTTAAAATATTATTATATTTTATTTTTTGATATATAGTACTACCATAATTATGATTCCACTTATCAAATAATTAATTTTGTTGTTATATAATGAACCCATTATATAATAACAAAAGTGGTACAATTTATTAGGATTCTTGTGGATGCACACGTGCATCCCTCAGTTGTTCAGACTACTTTCTTCTAAAGGTCATATATCACTATTGCAAATATTTGCTCTTGTCAACTCGTTGGATATTCGCTAAGAAAATGCATAGATAAAAAACACATAGCTTAGGTATTTTTAGTGAAGTATCTAATCTTCAATAATGTGTCGAACCAAGCAATAAATAAATCGTGAAAGTAGACTGCTAGGCACGACGAGCCAAGGATTTATGTGGTGTTTATCCTTCAAATATCAATTCAACTCTCAGAGGTCTACACTATCATCGAGATAAAGGACTAAACATGAGATTGTTTGAATATTTCGAATATTTGGAACATTCTGACATGCACGCGACCAATAAGAATATTGCATTTTCTTTCTTTTTTCTTAAACTCCTTCCTTCCCATTTTCCTTTTCTAATTCATTATTGTCTTCGTGGATAGTTCAAGAGAAATCTATAATCAGTCGCATTAAAGCATCCGCACCAGTGAAACAGTAGAGTCTTATCAATATCATTGGATATTTCTCAATTGGCGATATCCAGCATAATCTAAATCTTCGCGCAATAGTTATTAACGCGCATCTAACTCCACGGAATCTTTCAAAAGAATTCGTGTTTTCCCATTAATTTACAAGAATATGGCGAACAGTATTTTACTGACGAGCTTCAACGATACCCTAGCCTTCAATGAGGTCCGGTGCGAGACACGTATCTGGTTAATACAAATGAAAAAAAATGGGAAAAAATGAAAATTGTAAGAAGGAACAAATTTCAACTGCATCTGGAAGTAATTCTTAAGTTAATATGAAGGATTATACTTTATTAATCAGTAGTAACATATATTTGTTAAGCTTACTAAACTAAATTAATTTTTTTGTGAAAGTAATGTAATGATCCATGTATCATATTTTAAATAAATAAATAATAAATTAATACAAAATAACGAAGTTATTAATTTCACTGCCTTGACAAGTTTATTATTAAGTTAGTTTAGGTTTACGAACAAGAGTAGAACATTTGCTGTATAATAAGACCAAATAATATCAGTTTTGTGAGGAACACTATATGAAAAGTTTTCCAAAATTATCATAAAATAATATGGAAACAATTAAACAAAATCAAAATGATTTTGATCGGCAACTATAAAAAAATATTGTTATTGATTAAAGATTACTTTGTTTTTATATTTTATTTTACTTAATTTTTATTTTATACTTTCTTATAATACATATTTGCAAAACTTTTTTTAATTGTTTAATAGTATAATTTTCACAAACTTTAACTGTGAATCCAGGTGATTTGAACGTAGTCTTGAGATTTTCATAATTCACTTTTACTCAACTTAGTTTCTCCAGGTAATCCATAAAAAAAATTTCATAATTAAATATAATTGCTATGCTACGTTTTAAAGGATTCGTTTTATAATATGAAGAATATCGATTAAAAGGTGACATTTGTAACAGTCGAGCAACTTGAGTATTTCTGCAAGAATAAACATATTTTTCACATTTAATAAAACAATTATTTGATTTTATTATAAAAGTAAAAGATTTCGTTCTATAATAAATAAAACATTAATAACAACAGAAGAGGAATTAAAAGTATAGGTGATATTTATTCGAACATTATGTACACATTAAGTTCCTGTTTTTTTCTAGTGTTAATTTCTTCGAAAGACATTTTCTTAAATAATATTAATTAAACTTTCATAATATCCGTTATGACAAGGACTACAACTAATATACACACAAATATATATATATATTGGATTTGTAAACATTTCAAATCGATTTACTTAAACTGTCAACTTCTGATCTTTTACATTTGAACATCGTAAAGATAAATCTCGCTCGTATAAAAACGCGCGTCATTTAACGACTATCATCTGACCAATCAGAAAGCTTACGTTTAATAATCTATTATTATTAACGTTGACAGTTTAAACTTTCGAATAATGTTATGCATTTTTTCTTTATCCTTTTTCTTCACTGTCACAATATGAAATTTGAAATATTACTTAAATTCTGAAAATTAAAATTTAGTTTTATTTTTTCTGTAGAACGATAGATAAGATAAATTCAATTCTAATATTTTATTCTGTATCATTCATGATCATTTTTATTTTGTTTTAATCAAGATATTTCAGAAGAATTTCCAAATTTTCTTGAAGTTTCTATATCTATTATATCAGATATTGAAACGATTTGTTGAATACTTCTCACATTAGCTTTCAGAGATTCAGATGTTGGAACAACTATTATAGTATGCAATACATTATTTGTAACGTTTGTCTCTTTTTCTGATTTTCTTTCATTTGTTTCGATGTTTTGAAATTGTACAATTGTTCAATGTTTTGAAATTGAGAAAGAGAAAGAGAAAGAGAGAGAGAGAGAAAAAAAAAAGATATACAATATCAAAAAAAAATAGAACAAATATTCGACATTGAATTTTCATATACAGTTGTATATTGTCGCTTTGCTAATTCTTTCTTTTTTCTTTGTGTTATGTATATGTGCCATGCGTGTAATGTATGTACATTCTATTCGGATAATCAGATACACCTTTCAAGTTTTGAAAAGGTCAAAAATTCTATACATTAAAAATTCTATACATTAAAAATTCTATACTATTCTTAATATAGCAATGATTCATATTTGTTCGTTCGGATTTTATTTCATATGATAATTTTATCTGTTAAAATATATTTTTAAATTACGGTGCAAGAGGTACATACATTATAGAAACGATTACATAACATAATTTTGTTCTAATAGAGATTACATCTAGAACTATAGGGTTGGCAACTAAGTAATTGCGGATTTTGTCGATAGATGGACTTTACACTTTCCGCAATCACTTAGTTGCCAACCCAATATATGTTATAACAAATAAGAATATGAAGAAGAATATATATGTATATATATTCGTCTTTTTTCCTTTTTTTAATAACGAAAGATAGCTTAAAAGTGGACCAATATTTAAATTTATATATATATATATATATATATATATATATATAGATATAGATATAGAAGTCATAATTTTCATCGTTTGTACATAATTTAACATATTATATTATAAAATTATATAATTTAACTTAAGCTTGGAAACATGCAAAACAGAGTTTTGAATATATAATCTTGACTGGAAAATTTTCTCGCTAGATGGCGAATCGATAGAACTCAAAGTTCAGTAACGTAGTTATAGAAATCCAAAAATTATTCTTTTACAGACTAAAAATGTCTGATTTTACACTATTAGATAGAAAATATATATATGTATGTATATAAATTTGTTATATTATTATATTTATAATATTAATACTCAACAGTAATAAAAGTAACCTAAATATCTCGATTATATAATCTTTGATACATTATGATGTATTATTTGACGCAAATAAAATATGTGAGTTAAATGTTATTGACAGCTTTTAATAATGTATTATTAATATTATAATATTATTATATTTTATTCTTTGATATATAGTACTATCATAATTATGATTTCAGTTATCAAACAATTTCAATAATAACAAAAGTGATACAATTAATTAGGATCCTATTTATTATTTCTATTAGATTTTACATACGTGAAGTTACAAGTTAAAAATAATGGGTGATATAAAAGAAAAAAAAATGGGAAAAAATGAAAATCATAATGAGGAAGAAATTTCATCTGCATCAGGAAGTAATTCTTTAATTAATACTAAGGATTATACTTTATTAATCAGTAGTAACATATTTTTGTTATGCTTATTAAACTAACTTAAGTATTTTAAACTATACAAAACTTTTTTTTATATATTTTCTCATATTTTAGATACTCAATCTACTGATATTCAATCAACAGATATAAATAAAGAACAAACAAAAACCAATAAATCTTCAGGAAAAAGTAAGAATGTAGAAGCTATTGATGCACAGGTGATAAATTATTTTTTGTATATAGACAATTTTGTAATATATTTTAATTCATTGATGCTTATAATGTAATCTAGCAATCATTGGCTGTACAACGAGATACAGAAACTGTAAAACAATTAAAGAATCAATTAGAAACTTTAATGAATTCTCTGGCTACATTATCCGCAGAAAAATCAAAGATGGAAGCTAATTTTCAAAATGACAGAAAACAATTAAGAATGGAACGTGAGGAAGTAAGATATTTTAAAATACTTTCATAAATATTGATTAATATTTCTATATTATTTGCATGTGATTTTAAATTTTATAAAATATACATTCTACATAAATGTAGGATCACATAATCCACATAAATTTTTAATAATTTCACAAATATTTAACGTGTCTTACAATAATCTTTTTTATATAGTGTGAAAAGGTAATTAGAGAATTAAAGGAAAAATTAAAAAAGGGGCAAAATCACAATGTATCTGAAATAGAACATGTGAAGTGTAAATTAATCATGGAACGCCATGAAAGAGAAAAAGAAAGAGCAAATCATGCATCTACAATAAAGTATGTAATATTACAAGTACAACAGGGAGCTGATGTAAGTGTGCTCAGTATATCTTTGTAACATAATAAGTTTTTCAGGGAATTACAAAAGATATTAAATGAAGAACTTCGTAATAAAGAGCAATTAGAACAGCAAATGAAAAATTTATTTGCCAATAAAACACAATGTAAAATTCTTGAAGCAGAATTAGAAATAACCAAAAATAAGTTGAAACAAGCAGAGGAAGCAGCTAAAGAAACGCCACCTCTTCTTCTTTCTTTGCAAGCTGAAATGGTTGCTATAAAGAAACAACATCGCTATGCTATACTTGAAGTAAATATTATGTCATGCCATTCATTTATTATATTTCAAACTACACTATATAATTCAGTTTTATTGATAAATCATTAAGGAACAGAGAAGAGCAGCTACTGCAGAGCAACAAGCTAGAACATTAGCTATGACTCATGAAACAAGAGTAGCTGGTTTAGAATCTCGTTTAGCTGAACTTTCTGAAACAGTAGGAGAATATGATAGATTAAGGCAACAAGATCAGCGCTCTATTCAGAATCTTAAGGACCAATTATCTAATATGCAAGATGTAGAACACAAAGAATGTGTCAATATGCCAAGCGAACCAGAAGAAATAATTTCCAAAATAAAAATATTATATGGACGTTTATTATATTTAGATAATAAAAAGGAAGATTCAGCTTATGTTGAGTGTAAGTAAAATACCAATTAAATTAATAGATGCGTAAAAAATTAAATTTTTATATAAATTGTAAACTTCCAGCACTATTAAAACATTTAGAGTTAAATGGTAAATACAATGATTCTGAGTATAAAGAAAAGTATGAAACTCTGTTACAAGAATTCAAAATGCACAAAGAGCAAGTACCAACTAAATACGATGTTGATACAAGTCTTTTACGTAAAGGACACCAACAAATTTATAACTTAATGGATTTACGTGATAAAGAAAATATTAAAACTCAATTGCATTTACTTAAAACTCATAATAACAATTTAGAAGAAAGAATTCGTACATTAAATAGCAAATTAATACAGAAAGAAAAAGAATTGCAGATAAAAATAGATTATTACCAACAGGTAAATTTTATTAACATATATATTATATTAACATATGATTTTATCAATATGTATATATATATAGTTATATAGTTATAAAGTCAAAATAAAATATATATAGATATATATTTTTTTCTAATGTAAAATGATGATATATATCAGAATTTACAAATTTACAGTTATTACAAGAAGAACGTGCCAAATCAGAACATGTACTATCACAAAAGGAAAATGAATTTCGTAGTAAAATATGTACATTAGAACAGCAATTACTTCGTCAAAGAGAACGATCCGTCGCACTTGTTCAAGAGAAAGAGAAAGAAATCTTAACATTGAAAGCCTCATTTCATGCATTAATACCAAAAAAAGATCCATCTTTTTGGGAAGGTGAAAGAAATGTAATAAAATCCGAAAATAAATCAGAATCCTCAGGCGATATAGTAACAGGACTATTAAATAATGATAGTCCTCCTATATTGCATTATACTCAGGAATTAGCAAGACATGAAGTGCAAATATCATCGACTAGAAAGAGAATATTAGAATTAGAGGCATTATTAAGGGAAAAAGAAAGACAATTGCTTCATATAACTGAGAAACATAAAGAAGAATTAAAAGCTATACAAACACAAGTGGCAAGGTATTTAATCATTTACAGTTATCAAGTATATACAGATACCAAACATATATTTTGTACATGTTATTACAATTCAGGTTGGAAGCATGTAAATCTAGAGAAGGAGCGAATTTAGAATATTTGAAAAATGTACTTATTAATTATTTAACTACAAACGATTCATCAAGCAAGCGACATATATTAAATGCTATATCTACAGTGTTACAATTTACATCAGATGAGTTAGAGAAGGTCAATCATGTTAAATAGCTTTTGGAGTTTCAGTAAACAGGTAAACATTATTACAGAAAACATATCTCTATACTTTTATATTTTCTCATTATATTTATATTATTTCATAGATTAAAGTTGTTAATAGAATATTGGTGAAATAAATAAGATTGATCAAGATATCTATGGAAATAAATAATTATTTATTCTGGAGAATCATTATTGTTTTTCAGATATCTTTGTACTATCTTCGATAGGTTTAATTGGGGATTCTATTTCTAAAGTAACAGGTCCACTATTTTGTATGCTAACTTCCATCATGGCTCCAAATATACCATCTATACAAAACAATTAAATTACATAAATTTTATAGTTCTTTATTCTTCTTATAGATTTGCAATATATCAGGTATTTTTGTTTTATAACAATTGAATTAAAATAAGTACCTTTGATTAGCTCTGGTTTATAGTTTTTACCCAACTCATTTAAAAAAATTTTGTAAAATGGTTCTGACTCTTGTGCTGGCATTGCTCTATGGAAGTCAAGTTTATTTCCTTTTAAAACATGATACAAAGTAAATTGACTAATGCACAAAATTTCGTATTGTTTATCCATAACACTGGCACTCCATTTCTTCTTGTCATTCTCAAAAACTTTTGTGTTTAAAATTTTTCTTACTCTATAAAAACATACAAAGTGACAAATTATGCATATTATGTAAAGTGAGACTTTAATATATATTATTTAAATGAGAAAATACTATCAATACAAATATAATAAGTACATGTATTTTATGTCAGCTAAAGTGTCACCTCTTGTTATACCAATTAATACACAGAGTCCATTTCCAATACTGCTAATAACTTTATTGTCCACTGAAAACAAAATATGTAAAGGTAACATATTTTATAATTAATATGATATATAATATGTATATAACCTGTAACAGAGGCACTTGTTACACGTTGTATTACTGCTTTCATATTCTTTAAATCTTTATAATTAATTCTTTATAATTTTTTCTATTATTATTATTATATCTTAATTAAGTCCTATTTTCATTTTGTATTGTATATACATTATTTTAAGTTCATAAGATTAACAAAACACAAAACTTCGACGTGATAAAACTCGACTACTCATAACATAGTGCGTAATAGGATACATTTAATTCAAAAAAAGTTTTAATAGATTTTATCGATTATTGATTATAAGTCTATCTAAAAACTATCAAATGTAATTAAATTTAATCGTAAAGCGATAAACACCGATTCTAGTTTACATAATTTTGACATCTACAATAGAGTGCGCTCTTGTATATCCGCATCATTACATACACCGTTTACTATCTTACAAAAAGAGAAGCTTCATACTTACGCTGTCCATCTTTTTAATATAAGATCTTATTGCGTTTCTAGAACGTAAGTGAACGAATATTAACCTGTTAAACAAAATTTAAAGTAATAAAAGTATAAATATATATATGTTTTGGTATTTATGCAAAAAACTGTGTAGTAATCGTTATACTATGCTTTTATTTTCTTTATTATCTTTTGTGTACAAATAAACATTTAACCTATAAATTTTCCAAGACAAATATTTTTATATTAGAAGTAAGATTAAATATAAATGAAGCAGTACAATATATATTTGTAATTTATCTTCTCTAGAAACTTTCTAAAAGAAATAAATCTATTTTTTATTATTTTTATCAGACGTTAAAATGAAAAAATTTTTATTGTTTTTTTATTGTAGATACTTAAATATGTCGGAAACAGATAACGTTGGGCAAGAAATGGAGGCATCTGGTGAACCTGATGCAGTGTCAGAAGAAGATAGACAGTATTTATTGGAATATGTAAAGGAAACTGAACAAAGATTAACAAACAAAGAAGAAATTAGAGCTGCCAATTTGAATCCTACAAGACCACCAGATACATATTTCAGTAAATTGGATTCCAGTCTTAAAAGAAATACAACATTTGTCAAAAAGCTTAAAAATTTTAGCATGACTCAGTTAGATGCTGTTCTAAAAGATATGGCTAATTTAAATTTGACAAAATATGTTAGTGAAGTTGCTACTGCATTAGTCGATGCTAAATTGAAAATGAATGATATATCATCAGCAATTAAAGCTTGCAGCTTTTTACATCAGACATATGCAGAGTTTTCTGCACACTTTTTTGAAAATTGGCAAAGAATATTATCTTTAAAAATTGGAGAAAAAATTGCTAATCCAAGTAAACTAAGAGTAGATTTACGTTTTTATGCAGAACTTGTAAATGCTGGGATTTTTACGCACAAACAAGGTTTACCACTTCTTGGTTCTGTATTAACAGTTTTAATTAACATGGATAAAGAAGAACACAATAATGCAAGTATTATATTAAGTTTTTGTCGTCATTGTGGAGAAGATTACGCAGGTCTTGTTCCTAGAAAAGCAAGGGAATTATCAGAAAAATTGAATATCCCAATACCTAAGAGCAAATTACTCTCTCCTGACAAACAACAAAATGTAAGATTTTTATTACGCGATTATTATAATTCATTGTGTAAACATTTGCTGAAAGAACATAAAGAACTTCAAGCTTTTGAAAAACAAAATCGTAAGATTTTACAAACTAGAGGTGAATTGAGTGCAGAAAGAAAAGAGAAATTAGAATCCCTTCAAGTATCTTATGAACGTCTTTTTAATGGAGTACAAAGTTACTCTGATACCTTAGATGAACCAATACCTGAACTTCCTGTAGATATTGAAATGAAGGCAGAAGCTGAGGAAACATTAAAAATGATTAACGAAGGAGAAGAAAATAGCATTTTGGAAGATATGTGGGGGGATGAAGAAACAAGACGATTCTATGAAGTGCTGCCTGATTTAACAGTATTTTTACCAGGATCATATCTAAAAGAAGTACCAAAACCTGATGCTCCTATTACGGAAGAAACTTTGGACGAAGAAATAACATTTGATGAATTAGAAGAGACTGAAAAAGTGGATGAACCAGAAGTGGAAACAGAAGAACCTCAAGTTTCCAACATAAGTAATAAAATATTATTAGATGCATTTCTTAGTCATTTGCCAAATTGTGTCAATCGCGAGATGATTGACAATGCAGCAGTTGATTTTCTCATCAATTTGAATACAAAGCATAATAAAAAGAAATTAGTAAAAGCATTATTTGGTGTTTCTAGGATACGTTTAGATTTGCTGCCATTCTATTCTCGTTTAGCTGCAATTCTGTATCCTGTAATGCCAGACGTAGCAAATGATTTGTGTTTAATGCTAAAACATGATTTCAAATATCACGTCCGAAAAAAGGATCAAATTAATATTGAATCAAAGATAAAAGTGGTACGTTATATAGGCGAGCTTGTAAAATTTAAACTTTATTCAAAAATAGAAGCATTATACTGTCTGAAAGTATTGCTTCATGATTTTACTCACCATCATATTGAGATGGCATGTAATTTGTTAGAAACTTGTGGAAGATACCTCTTTTGTTCTCCTGACTCTCATCAAAGAACAAAGGTCTATTTGGAACAGATGATGCGTAAAAAGGCTGTTACTGCCTTAGATTCCCGTTATGTAACAATTATTGAAAACGCATATTATTTTGTAAATCCTCCCGAATCAACTGGTGGAGTATCTAAAAAAGATAGACCTCCTATTCATGAATTCATCAGGAAACTTCTCTATCAAGATCTTTCTAAAACGAATACGGATAAGGTACTTAAATGGATGAGGAAATTAGACTGGGAAGACGAAAGTGTATCTTCATATGCTATAAAATGTCTCACTGCTGCATATAATGTAAAGTATTTAAATATTCGATGTGTTGGAAGTTTATTAGCTGGATTAGTAGCACATTATGAAACAATAGGTCCTCATGTGGTAGATGGTGTATTAGAAGACATAAGACTGTGTATGGAAATTAATTTGCCTAAATACAATCAACGTCGCATTGCCATGGTTAAATATCTTGGAGAATTGTATAATTATCGTATGGTTGAAAGTGGTGATATCTTTAGAACTTTATATCTATTAATTACATTCGGTGTCAGCATGGATCATTCTGTTCCAAGTGTTCTTGATCCACCCGATCACTTATTTAGAATTAGATTAGTATGTACACTTTTAGAAACCTGTGGACAATATTTTAGTGGAGGTTCAAGTAAGAAAAAGCTTGACTATTTTTTGGTATTCTTTCAAAATTATTATTGGTTTAAATATACAGATCCTATATGGACTTCTGAAAATCCCTTTCCCGTAGGAATAGATTATATGTATCGAGATACTTTGACAATGCTTAGACCAAAAATGCAACTTTTTCAAAGTTATAAAGAAGCGCAATGTGCTATAGAAGAATTAAGGAACATATTGTATCCATCCCTAGGAAGTACTACTACAGAAGACATTGAGCATACAGAGGGAGAATCTGATATGAGTGTAATTGTAGAAGGAGATGAAGAATTGCTTGTAACATCTGGAAATGGAAGTGGCGACGCAAAAGGAATGGGAGATTTACATTTTGAAGAATCTGAAGATTGTTCAGAAGCACAATCTGAAGAAGATTGGACAGCAGAAGCGGAAAGAGATGATACCATGGGAACTCAGGAAAATACTCAAGGAGATCAAAGTCTATCGGAAGGTGGTACTGAAGGAGTTATAATGGATGGTACTGAATTAAATGCTGCTCTTCCAGCAGGTCCAAAAAAGATGACGTGTCCTGAAGATGATGATTTTCTTTCTGCACTTGATAAAATGGTATCCGATAATATACAGGATAGAATGCGTGATGCTGTTAAACCACAACAAGTTGATATATCTGTACCATTACATATAAAAAGTACAAAAAAAACGTACGAGCAATTGCAAGTGCAATCATCTGATAATTCTACTATGGACTTCATACTTATGCTGAGGAAGGGTAATAAACAACAATATAAAAATTTAGCTGTGCCAGTATCATCAGAATTAGCTATGAATCTTAGAAATCGCGAACAAGAACAAAAGGAGGAGAAAGAACGTGTAAAAAGATTAACTTTGAATATAACAGAAAGACAAGAAGAGGAAGATTATCAAGAAACTATAAATCAAGGTACACGGCCGGTAACAGTAAATCTAAATAGAGAACGACGACAAAAGTATAATCATCCTAAAGGTGCACCAGACGCTGATCTTATATTCGGACCAAAAAAAATTCGGTAAATTCATGCAGCACTTGCTCTGAAAAGATATTATTTTGTACTTTGTGAACACCGCGTAGTCTCACTCTACGGAATTTTGACCAATGTGAAACAGTGCAATTGTAATTATACATCATACCTTCTACTTTTAATTAAAGATGCAACATCTATTGTTTATATAGATTCGTCTTCCCTTCGTTTTGTTATTAGCTTTAAGAGTAGTATTGTTGAATAACTTGTGAATGGGTGCACGATTGCATGCAAAAAATCATGTTAGAAACTGTTACTATCGAGCAAGTCAAATCATAATATACTGAGAATAATACTTTTCCAAATGCTTCAATGTAATACTTATAATTAATCTTATTTTCTAATGGTTTGTATAATATGCGCATCATGACTAAGAACTCTCTTATGTACAAATAAATATTTCTATAAAAATTGTCAATGCAAAATGCATCTTTCCCATTATAGGTAAGATTTAATAATAAAAAAAAAAAAAAATTGAACTATTAACTATTTGTGCATATACAAAATGATCAGTTATATTTAATGTATAACTATTTATTTTTTACCTAAGAAATTATCACCATGTACAAAATGAATATAAATAAATGTTAGGTGCTTTTACGTTCGACGTAGTTTTGTCTTATAGCTTGCAATAATGATATTACATATCTACCGAAATATATGAAATCGATAATCATATAAAGTAATACTAAATGCATATCAGCATATGTTTTTATAATCTCAATTTATGGATCCTCTTCTGCATCCTCAAACTGACCTGCTTCAACGTCCATTGGTTCGTCGACTTCAGTGCCATTGCTGTGGTTAGCTCCTATTTGTTCTATGAAAAACGGATTTGTAATAAATTGTTTAAGGGGATTCGTAATAACAACATGAAATATTAAATAGATTACCAATTGGTAATATGTATGGAGCATCACCAGCACCAACTTCATAATATTCCAAATCATCTTCTTCTGCGTCTTCATAAATATCTTCTTCAGCTTTAAGTGCATACATTTAAAATATATAAGTATTAAAAAATCAATAAAATACAATATTTCATACATATCAATTACCGTCAGAAAAACTATCTTGTGGATCTGGATGGAGAGCTTGACATTGATTCATTGCTTCAAACATCGCCTCCAGATTATTCGTGTCATCAGGTACAAAACTCATCTCCGTCATAGGAGTATCTCCCTCTTCATCTTCGTTTTCTGAACCATTATCAGGGGACGGCGGTAATGGTACATCTGGAAGTAAATCAATTTGAATGATGTATGTTGACTATATCCTTTTACTATACTATTTTTAATATATCTTTTAAAATATTCAAAACCATCAGAAAATATATATTTATAAGGTATACCTGGAAGGTCATCCACCATAATGTATAAACATTGTCTGGGATGAACCTGTTGATCTCGGGAGATAGCATGTATGGAAATATGAGGGTACTCAAGAGAAAATCCTTGTTGTGTATCGCTGTCTATCCAGGATAGTAAACTGCCAATGTCGATTTATATTAGAAACATGTATATTAAACATAAATAAATTATTATACCTTTCTGTAATATAAAGAGTGCCTTTTCCCACTTCCCTAGCGTTAATGTATACAGTGGTGTTTGGTTCTTCATGACGGATGCCTTCCTGTGGTGCTAGAAAGCTGCTAAGCACTACCATTTTTCCACCTGTAACGTTCGTATATACGTATTCCTTGATTGAGACATTTTGAATTAGATTGTAAACCACTTTAAAAATAGATATCACAAGTAAATCGTGATATTACGAGAGTAAGATTCAAACCTATGAGACACTTGAGGTTATACTACATCTATGAGAGTAACGTAAATAAATGATTCGTTCGAATCTCTGAATTGTAATTTATCAGAGACAATTGATGTGTGTTTTTCAACGGTGTAGGTCCATATTAAGGATGAATTAGGCTGATACCGGGATTTTGAAGAGTGAGTCAACGTCAACGGTGCCGAAAATATACAGTTACGCGTTAAATAGGACTTGAGCTCGACAAATCTATATTTTACAAAGATCCTTAATTGCCAAAATTCGTTGGCATTAAGTTCTTTGCAAATACTAATATTTACTCACAGCTCTTGCCTTATCTCTTTTACACTACGCTATTGTAAACACGACACACGATGTAAAAATTTTTACGACTTGAATATATGCGTATTTTGAGTTAAGGACGGTGACTGCTGATTCCCTAACTTCAGATTGCTTCCGACTGACTGATTCAGACCTATCGCACGTACTTTCCCTTCCAATTGCAATTTGAAATTTTACGCGCGTAAGACAATATCGATAATTTACAAATGAGATCGAAAAGGATAACTTTTCAAAGTGTAATTTTAATTTAAAAAAAGAAATTAAATATCATTGCTATTTCCATCATCAATTCGAATAAAAAATTATACAAATCTTTAAAAAAAAAAAAAAAAAAAAAATGATTGAACTGTTTCAAGGTTCGACGATAAGAGAAGAAACTACAAATAAAAAAAGGTAGAGTGCCGTCTGAAAATGTTTTATTAAGATTACATATGGCAAGCGAGGCTTTTGTTTCCAATTCCTCGGACTGAAAATTCATCTTCGTAACAGTTTTACGTACATACATACATACTGCCAATAGAATACAAAGTGTTTTTGCAGTTTCCTGTATTTAATTCGCTACTTCAAATTACCTTGGAGAAGTCACCTTGACACGTTCAAACTCTTGTCCAGATATCTCTTGTGCGAATTATTTTTAATCTTATAAATCTGTACTATGCGAATACTACGCTTTGAACAATAAACTGGACTGAGCAACATAGTAATTATAGTATTTCCTTTAGGACGATATCTCCTTGAATGACGAATGCAATGCTACTTATTTCTATCATGATGTAAAAGAAATAAAAAAAAAAAAAAAGGAAACCTCTTGTAAAAAATGTCACTTAAAATGCGTTCTGTGACGATATAAAAAATAAAAATAACAAAAAATTAATAAAAAAACGTAATAAAATAGTGCACAATAAAAGTGAATACTATAATGCATTATACTCAGTAGTACTTTTATGTTTGATTATAATGGCATCGCGTATCTCGTATCAATGATTCCTGAGTATTTCAGATTTACTCGCGAATGTTCTAAAGCAAATTTCTATACAAGAGAACAATATGGATACAATTTATAATAGAATTAAATAGCTATGCTACATAATGGATCATGACTAAATAGTACTAATGTTAATTGTGCATGTTTCATAAGTCGTGTCCATGGGTAACTGTATTTTGTTACTATTTCAAAGGGCACAAGTTCCAAAAAGAGACAATGCACAACATGTAACATGTCAGTCGATAACATTCTTGATATGTTTTATATTTTTAAATATAGTAAATATTATCTCCAAGTAAGTAATGCAATATTACCAATATTAATAGTAATAATAATAGAAGCAGTAGTAATTGTAGCAGTATTAGTAACAGCAATAGGAGATATTAGTATTTGGAAGGTAATAGTAACAATGGTAATGACAGTGATCATAGCAATAGTAACAATACTAGTGTTCATAATAATTATTCATTTATCAGTTGGATTCTGGTAATAGTGTGATGTGTGGTCGAAATGTAATAGTATGATAGAATTAGAGTGATTAACGCGATGGTGTCATTAGTAACAATAAGTTTAAAGCACAGATCATTACATACACCACTTCTTGGAAAAGGGGTGGGATAAGAAAAACGTTTTGTTTAATTTAAGGACACGATCGAATAATAAATAACAAAATGATATATCCCTTTTGTAAGATACGCAAAATAATATTGAGAAACATCGAGTATAATAATATCTTTCTCAAATTCAAGCATTGAGTTTACGCTTGATTCAAACAAACAAATATTTATACATATACATATGTATATATATATATATATATATATATAAACATACATACATATGTATGTGTATATATACATATATATATATGTACATATATATATATATAAAAAGAGAAAACATTCAAATATACACACAGTATGCATGTATACATGTAAATATGATTAGAAGAAACGTTTTTATGTACAATTAGAATAGTCATAGAGCAGTAACAACAATGATAAGTAACATCAAAAAGATGATGTTTTTGCTAACTAAGCTCGAAATAAATATCTAAAAAGCGAGCCATTCGCTTGTTTTTAAACCGCTATAATTCGAGACGATCTGTCTTTCATCTTGTCCTAATGTAAAAAAAAAAGATCTTATTCGCCGCATGTTCTCCCCTTTGGAACTTCACCCTTTGTATCATTTTTATGTCATTCATTCGCACATCTCTCTTATACCGTAGATACAAAAGTCCTAAGAACAATGCTCCTAGGTATTCTACAAACAAACTTAGGTTTGCAAGGTATTCGTAATTTCTCGATGCACAGTTACCAAGTCTTGTATAAATCCAGCTAATCTGGCATTCAAAGTTTCCAAGTTTTGTTTCTGAACTTTGTTTGCACATAAAGCAAGTTCTAATTGTTCTTGGACAACGTTTAACATATCACGCAATTCGGTATTTTCCTTTTGAAGGGCCTAAAAAATGAAATGAAATAATTTAATTTAATGAATTGCCGTAAAATATCACCCTATTACATACCACAAAGTCTTTATTTTTTGTAGCCATAGTAAGAGCCTTTATTTCTTCATTTCGACTTCTTAATTCACTTTCGAGTGCCTCCACTCTTAGCCTCAATGCTTCACTATTCCCTTCTGCTATTTTTCCAGCTTCTAGTTCTGCATATTTTGCTTTTACCCTGGCATTTTCTTCTTTATATAACTGCAATTGTCTCTTCCACTCATCCACATTAGCTGTTGATTCTTGGAGCGCGCTTGTTAATCTAGCGTTGTTTGTTTTAAGAGTAGCCAATTCAACCTGTAATGCAGGCCATATTGTAAAAATTATGGAAAATCGTTAAAATTAAAATGTATTTACATTCCTATTATTCTTTTATCCTGTGCATATGCATGCTCTGATGTAACCAGAATTAGTATTGAGCATGTAGGAGCATATTGTGCTACAAACATACCTCCCATTTTTTGGCATTAGCAGAACTTTGAGCTAAAGCAAGCTTCAACCTGTCATTTTCATATTTCAGCTGCATCTCTGCCGACTGTCCAGCTTGCGTCGAACCAAGTTGGGCTGGTTTCCCTTGGTGCTGCGGGCTTTCTGTACTCTGCTGAGAAACACTTTGTGATCTTGAATGGACTGCATTTTTCAATTCATCGTCCGTTTTATTTTGACAACTGCCAGGTAAGGGACTGCTGCTTACCGAAGATACACTGTTTTGAGCAGAGATCATGTTTGCATTTGGATTAGGATTATTCGATGCCGACACATTAGAGTTGATCATCGAAGAATTTGGTGGATCTATGAGATCCTGCTCCGAAGAAGGCATCCCTGATCTTGACGTGATTGGACTAACATTTGCACTAGTAGCTGGTGTAACCGATGAGCTGTTTGACTGTAGCTTAGCACTAGCTAATTTAGTTGCTTCTTTTACTTCATGAAATTTTTCAATAAACTGTCAAAGTAAAGTTGTACCAAGCGTATTTATGGAATGTTTAAAACAATGAAGTTGTATAAATATACATAATACAAACCTTGCCTAACTCTGCTTCAGAGGAAAATCCTAAACCATATACAGTATTAGCCCTGACGTCTGACCACTGACCAAATTTTTGCGATGTTTTTGTAAATGTCATGTTTGGTGTAATAGTGCTGTTTATTACTGCCTAAAAGTATAGAGTAAAAGAATGCATATAATTTTCATGAAGAGTATTAGATTTTCACGGAAAGTTGACAAAAGAGTCACCTTCGATCCTTCAACAGATATTATTCTATAGAGACTTCTAGTTGAATCATAAAAAAAAGACACAGAAACTGCAGCTGTTGAGGCAGATACCCATGAACGTTTAGTTTTAGGATCGATATGAAATACGTGCGCCTTGCACGAGAAAATTGGTTGTTCACTGTAATTAATAATGGAAGGTTAGAATATAAAAAACAATTGGAAGATCCATGTATACGTAATCCCAATTTGGATCAACAGTAATTGTAAATATATTTCTTCGCTCGGGATTTTCACATTGCTAAGTTTTTCTTTCAAAGCAGTTCTTGTTGCTGTTTGTGCAGATGTTCCATTGTGCAAGAAGATAAAACAGTTATCGTTTTGTTAGAAATAAGGAAATGAATTTGTTTGTAGAAATTGACAAAAGTAGAGATCCAGTTTAAATTTCAATAGGTTCGATTTCATTCCGGAGGAAGTTCAGGAAATAAGTGTAAAATAAAATCATATCGTTAAGAATTCTCTTACAAAAGATAACTATATTTCTGATATAGATTTTGCGATTACTACAAACAATACATGCAGTTTGTACAATTTAAATGCAAACAAGCATCGAGGAATCAAAATAACATTTTGCCAATAATGATTCTATTGTAATTTACAATAAAATTATAATATTTAGCACAAAAAATTAAAAATTAGTTAACTATGTAAGAATGTTCATGCCTATTCATGCGAATAAATAGAAACATAATCGCATTATGCGGTTCATCTGAAAAGAAAAAAAGGTATATCACACATTTATTACCACAAATATATATGCATTATAATTTAGAGATCGATAAGAAAATTTCAATAAATTATCTTGATAGAGAGATAAGACAATAACAAACGACAAATAAGAAATTTAAATGAGAATTCATCAGTTTTTAATAAAATATAATAAAAGAAAAGAGATCACACAGTGTGTTATTGTTTATATCATACAAAACTTTTACATGACTTTTTCAAAGCAAGTCAGTTTTTATGATAAGGCCGCTCTACAAAATAAACTATTTTTTACGGGAAGATCATGTATATCAAATTTGGCTAGCCCACTAGAGTTAGATAAAGGCCACACTGAAAAAAAAAAAAAGAGGAAAAATAAGAAAGGTTATTCTCGTATAATCCTTTTTCATATGTACAAGTCGTTTTTATACGTATCAGTGATCAAGTAGCGCAACAAAATATGGAGGATGAGTTTTAACCAGAATGACCTATTTTATATAGACTGATAAAGTCGACTGATTAATAAATCGACAACAATTAATCCGAATGCACGACGTAAAAATTGATTTTCGTATGTAGACACATTACACACCCTTGAGAGGTGACGCGAGTTCTCACCGTATTCACTTACCCCATTATTTCTTTACTCGATAACGTGCAAATAAGAGTTACTCCAATAAATATTACAAATCCAATATAGTTTCCAAGGGAAAGGATCGCAGAGTATTCTGATATTTGACTAGGAACCCCTGTGCGAAAAGCAGAGACCCACCAGTTGACAGCCGCCATCGGCCAAATTCTATAGCGAGTGGCAATGGTTACGTGATATCATGAAAGTAGACGAACTTTCACGACACCTGGATTTAATCGATTTTCTACAAAACGTTATGTCCACTGAATTTATCAGCTGGATGTATTCTACATCACGCAATCTAGAGACCATGGAACGTTAACCAATCATAAACCTTTTCGCATGTGCTCACTTCTTAAGAGAAAACGCGACAGAATTTAATTGGTTCTACTTGTTTCCTCATAAGACACATGAAATTTATTTTTATTTCTATATACCACTTGCAATTCATTTTACTCGTGCGTGCATACGTGATCATTACAAATTCTTAATAAGTAATAATAGAAATTTGTCAAGAGAGAATCAAACGGATCGCTCGCAGCACCCTCTGTGATAATTACAATATTGCTGCCTCCTCTATGATTGGTGGATGATAACACGATGCCTAAGTTAGATCATCGGTTGCTTTTTCTTTCGTTATTTTACAAATAAAAGGGTTACATCGTACTCGTAAAATTAACGAACGCATCAAAGAAAATGTTTACGTCATCGAAGTTGGCAATGATCAAAGCGATATCTTTTTTGCGCCGCATATAACGTCGATTCTAGAGGCGGTCTTCGCATTATATTATTTTGCCTTCGTCGATTGTACCTTTATAAAGCAGGGGGAGGTGGTAAACGAAAGAGATTGTCTGGAGCGATACCTGGGCTTCTGTTTCTTCGTAGAGCGAGCGCTTTACTCGCTAAGCGAGACAATGAAAGTGCGGCACGTTGAGTGGGTGTGTGGTTGGAGGGGGGACAGCACCATAAGAGAAAGAGGAGGAAAAGGTGTTACGATGGAGTAGGAGAAGGTGCGCGCGCGAGATTAAGAGAGAAAGGTATATAGAGAAAGAGAGGGAGAGCAAACGAGGGAACGCGCGCGCGAGAGAGAGAGAGAGAGAAAGAGACAGAGAGAAAGAAAGAGAGAGAAAGGCCAGCAGGAGGGCAAAAGTCGTTCCTTTTGCGAGTCGTGTCATGGCTGCATCGTCGTCGTGAGAGAAAGAGAGACTGGTAGCGTGCGCGTTGAACAGAGAACACGAGTGGGAGAGAGAGAGAGAGAGAGAAAGAGGGAGAGAGAGGGAGAGGAAGGAACGAGTGCACACGAGAGAGAGAGAGAGAGAGAGAGAAAGAAAGAAAGAAAGAAAGAGAGTGCGTGAACGAAGAAAGAGAGGGAGTAAAAATCTGGAGATAATGAAATGACGGTGCGTTCGAGCGAGTAGGCGCGAAAACGTTAGTGCGCGCTAAGAAATCGGGTGCGTGTGTCTCTGATTAAACGAGAGAGGAAGAAAGAAAGAAAGAAAGAAAGAGTGAGTGAGTGATTGAGTGAGCGAGCGAGAGCGAGAGAGATAGAGAGAAAGAGAGAGATAGAGAGGAGAGGAGAGGAAAGAGAGAGAGAGAGAGAGAGAAAAGAATCGACGACGTGTTTTTCCCGATGCGGAAGCTCGTCCGAGTATACGCGATAGAGGGTGCTTTCGCGCGTGCTTAAAAAACCACTCTCTCCTTTCTTATCGCGTTATAACGATGAACAACTTCAACTTCAGTGAATTGTGTTGCCTGTTTTGCTGTCCGCCCTGCCCATCGAGAATCGCCGCGAAGCTAGCGTTCCTACCGCCGGAACCAACGTACACGTTCATCGAGGACGAGGGCTCCTCGAAGTTTACGATCTCTCTGTCGGAACGTGCCGAGTGGCAATATAACGAGAGAGAACTGGAATCGGTCGAAGGTTTTTACGCGAGGACGTCTAGGGGCAATCGTATAGCATGCGTTTTCGTACGTTGTTCGGCAACGGCACGTTTCACCTTATTATTCTCTCACGGGAACGCCGTCGATCTTGGCCAGATGTCTAGCGTCTATCTCGGACTTGGCTCCAGGATAAATTGTAATATATTCAGTTACGATTATTCGGGATACGGGTTGTCGAATGGCAAGCCCTCCGAGAAGAACCTCTACGCCGACATAGACGCTGCGTGGCACGCTCTAAGGACGCGATACGGTATCAGCCCGGAAAATATAATCCTCTATGGTCAAAGTATCGGAACCGTGCCCACCGTCGATCTTGCAACAAGATACGAGGTTGGCGCGGTCGTTCTGCATTCGCCGCTCATGTCCGGCATGCGTGTTGCATTTCGAAGCACTAAGAGAACTTGGTTCTTCGACGCCTTTGCCAAGTAAGCTCTACTTTCTCTCTGCTGTTTTTACTTTCTCTGTTCTTTTCTTTTCTCTCTCTCTCTCTCTCTCTTTCTCTCAATCTTTTTGTCTTTTTCTTTTTATGTTCTTTCTCTCTCTTTCTCTCTCTCTCTCTCTTAATCTTTTTGTCTCTTTTTCTTTTTATGCTCTCTCTCTCTCTCTCTCTCTCTCTCTCTCTCTCTCTCTCTCTCTCTCTCTCTCTCTCTCTCTCTCTCTCTCTCTCTCTCTCTGTCTCTCTCTCTGTCTCTCTGTCTCTCTGTCTCTGTCTATCTGCCTGTATCTCGCTCATTCGCACGCGTTCTGCATCTCACCGATGACGCATCTTTCTTACGTGTCCATCCTCATAACTAATTCATAAGAGTCATTCGTTTACCACGAAAAATGTACTTTCATTTCTATATGACATGTTTGAGCGAGACACGCGCGTGCGATAGAGTTGGAAGAAATACGTAGAGAGAGAGTGAGAGAAAGAGAGAGAGAGAGAGAGAGAGAGAGAGAGAGAGAGAGAGAGCATAGATCTATGTTGACATACACGTGCTCTCTGCTGATTATAACAACGCTATATGAAAAAGCCGTTATTATGAATCTTGCTTTATGACGTCCTTTTCAAATCCGATTATTCAATCTTTTTTGCGAATACGCTTTGGGAAGCAACAAAAGTTTGTTTCTCGCGTCACGGAAACCTATGAATCGCTACACATTGCTTATCGCAACTCGCTAATTGGTATTAACTTTTGTTCTACATATATCGCATGCATATCGAATGAAAGATTAACCTTGTATTAACCACAAAAGATTTTTTCTTCAAAAGAACAAAGTGCGCAATCATTTTTGTAATTGGAATTGTTGTATAGCATTGTTCGAAGTCATCAAAATTACTTTTCTTTCTAATGACTTGTCTACTTTACTCTAAATTGATGCATTCCTTTTGTGATTACAGTATAGATAAGGTACCCAAAGTAACATCTCCTGTTTTGGTTATTCATGGTACTTCAGACGACGTTATAGATTTCAGTCATGGACAGGCTATTTATGAAAGATGTCCAAGAGCTGTGGAACCATTATGGATCGATGTATGTATTTTATGGTTTTAATATATATATATATATATATATATATATATATATATATATATATAAATGTAATAAGAATAAGAATTGATCTTTCGCATAGACATATTCCTAATGTTTTCTTCTTGTCGTAGGGAGCTGGTCATAATGATGTAGAACTTTACAATCAATATTACGAACGGCTGAAGCAATTTGTAAGCATAGAGTTGGTAAACTGACGGCGACTCAGCCTCTCCCAGAGTCAGGGGGGGCCGGGAGGTGGAGATACACAAGTTAGTAGTCAGAGCCGTAGTACCGCAAATGATTCAAATACTATCAGTTCTATTTCAACGAGTTCTCTGACCGAAAAACTTGTCTAGCAGTCACCTCCCACAGGGGAGAAGGCTCCTGTCCTCCCCTGTGATAAAGAGTCATCTTTTGCTTCTGTGGACGATGTGGTCCTCGCCCGTAAATTACCTTTTGCTTCTTTGGCCGATAGCCAAGAAATTTATTTTAAACAGATCTCAAAGAAAAACCGCTCTAAAAATGGGGATCCGTGTTTGGATGGACGTACTAAGAAACTGAATATAGAGACCGACTTAAAGAATCCAATGCAGAAAAGTTATTCTACCAGTACAGTGGAAAAGGAACAAGGTAAAACAGAATTGGAGAGTGCTAATAGTTGTCACGATGTTAGAACAAATAATACTGGCCTATCTACCAAAAAGTTAGCAAGCTTGTCGAAATATTACAAGTATGTGGACGGAAAATTAAAGCCAATTCCTTCATTTTCAAATGCTTCTGCAGGTGCTAAGAAAGGCAGTACTGATTTAAAGGATACTCATAGTAATTTCAAACCGGACAAAAAGAATCCCTTGTCACAATTTTATTACAACGGCGTAGAATCTGCATTTGGTTCGCACTGTCCACCTAAAAGCTGTAAACAACGCTTACGTACTTCGATCGTGGAGGGTATTACGAAAGGGAAGAAGACCGATGAAAAGGAAGATCGCAATCGCAGCGCAAAGTATCGCGAGACTACTACGAAGAAGTTTTTGTGGAGTGGAAATTTTCATCCCTTAAGAAACCTTGGCGCTAGAACTTCACTGACTGTAGAACCCGATAAGATCACCATAACCCCATCGAAATATTCACCATGTGCTAGTAGGCTCGCAGCCAGTTCGAAGATATTGTCAAACGATTTAGGTGCGAATTCCGACAGTCCCTTGCACGTAGCAAGATCAAGAAGCCCGTCACGGGTCGACGTACAAACAACGGATAATAATACGTCGAAGAATGTTGAAAGAACGTCGATGCAGGCCAGTTTGTCATTGAATATACAACAATTTATAAAGACTCGATGTGCACCACGTAGTAAAAGTGTTGACGACAGCTGTGTAACCTCACTGACTAGCGAAGCTACGACGCTTAGTTATTCACCCACTAGCACGGAGGTATTGTCTTTAGGAGAGGTCGGTCAGCAAACGTCGTCAACTGAAGGTTCTGCTAGTTATTCAGAAGTGAAAGAGAAACTGGTCACAGAGTGCTCTGATAAAGTTCAAAGAGCGTCATTAGAGACTAAGTGTTAATAACTCCATACATTTCGCCCATTGCTGTTCTGCCAATCTCTTCCATGCGTTTTAAAAGGGGAGAAGACGCAAATTTTTATTATTCGTTACGACGTCTTTAGGCTATATTTAACGTCAGTGATATACCGTCACACGCGACAGCATACTCACACGTTTATGAAGTTTACACTCCATTTTCACGAATGTGTAAAGATACGTATATGCGCGCGCGCATGCACTTCTGTTGTATCGCGTATTCTTACCTATAAAACTCGTGCATATGTGTAAACTGAATTTCCATGCGACATAACTGCGAAACACATTGATGTTACAAATATTCCAAGTATTATTATTTCTATTGTTTTTTTTTTTTTCTGATCTAATTCTTTTTACAATCAATTCCGTAGATTCATCATTCTGCATGTGTAGATAGAAATGTTTCCTTCTTTTTTGTTTTTTTTTTTTCTTTTGTATTCTTTTTTGTTAGAAAAGCGGAAGAATTTCTACCGTGATTGTGCAATATATACATTTCTCTTATACTTTGAATTTATTATTAGAAAGAAAGATAAAAAGAAAAAAAAAATTCATCGTACCTGTGTCTAAAGTGATTGCGTTTATTACGAAAAACAATAATAACGCCTAACGGTAATATTCTTTCCGTTTTATCGAGTTTTTCTTTAGTTCTTTGTTCCCCCATTGTTTCTTCGTTATTATTTTTTTTTAACGCAGTAACGTCTATGAATATATACAATACATGAGTATGCGACATTATTGCGTGGATCTAGCTGATTGATCAAAATGTTGTCTGCCAGGAAGTATGGTTCGTGATACTATTGTCATTGCATAATGATTATATGATATATTTATATATACATATATATATATATATACATATATACATATATATATATGATTATATAATAATAATGCGACAGCATGTGAAGCGAGAATCATACTATATTAATTCAAACATCATACAAATAAAATGATACTCTTTTATAAAGAAGCAGAAAATTAGAAATAACATAAAAGATATTTAATGAAAAAGAAAATTCAAAAAAAAGATATGGAAAGAGGTCATCTCTATGAGATGTTGAATTATCGCTTATCAATACATAAAAAATACGTTTTGTCTATATCGATTGACAAGTTGAGGTTCTTAGAAATCGCTAAATAGTTTTTCTCTCGATGATCTTTCTTTTGCATAATTATTATTATTATTATCTAATTTTTTTTATTTTTTTTTTATTTCTTTTTTATTTTTTTCCTCCTTTTGATCGTGTATACAAAAAAGCGATGAAAAGAAGCAGTGTGATTTTAAAGAGAGAGTTGCGCTTTCGTGATAAAGTTTACAAAGAATTCTGTGGTAGTAAGGGCTGAGATATATCTTCCAAGATAGTAAAGATTCTCTTTTATAGGATAAGATGGAATAGAAAATAACGTCTGACGTGTTGCGAGGTCATGTACGCGATTTCTAACGGTTACCGTTTTGCGTGTACCGTTGTGAACGAGCGTGTCGATCGTGACGTGAAAGAACGTAAGCAACAATAATAACGAATGGAAATAGCTAGGGACAATATAACTGCCAAATTTGACTATGAATTAGTTAATTTCTAAAGAGGCGAACCGTGTGAAGGATCTTGTCTATAGGTATGTTTCTCGTTAGTATTTTTATATCTCGATAATGTATATAGAGTGCAATTAGAACATCTTCTTTATTAGTGGTACGCATTACTACGACACACACTCTCACGGCGATAGTTGCGAAGAAATCGAGTGGAGCCTATGGAATAAAGGATTAAAATAAGAAATAAACAAATGAAAAAAGGAGAAGTGATTGAAACAAAATAAAAAAAAATAAAAAAAAAAAAGAGAGAGAGACGGAAGTTGGACGTCGAGAATATTCGTTAGCAGAACACAATATACATACACAAACACATACACATACAAGCGTAATTCCATTTTAATGATTAGACTTACTAAACTCTTGAACGACCTCACTAATTTTATATATATACATATATAATATAGAGAGAGATTATATATATATATATATATATATATATGTATGTAATATATATTTATCTATATATATATATATAGACAGATATATATACATATGTATATTAAGATTAAGAAGAATATAACGTTGATAAGTGGCTACAGTCGCCTTGCATCGCATAAAAAACTTAATTTAAATATCTACATCGTTAAACTTTTCATTATCGATCGTACCATAAATATCTATTATGATTCGTATTGATAAGAAGAAATTCGAATAAAAAAGAAAGAAAACAAAAACGGTTTGTTTGAAGCGACCGCCATTCTCCACCTTTCATTGTGGTAATGTATCGAAAGTACAATGCTTGCCGTTTGTTGAATATGGAGATCGCATGGTAAAGAAGGTTGCTACCAGTTTGATCAGCGGTATTTATAATTCCATTCTAGTGAATTATTCTGTTTTAGTTTTAAAAATCTTTTTTTTCTTTCATTTTGTTTTTTTTTTGTTTTTTTTTTGTTTTTTTTTTGTTTTTTTTTTTTTAATTACTTTCGTGATTGTGTGCTTTATGAATTTTGTCGTTTTTATTATTTTAATATAAATTAAAAATGAAAAAAGAATAGTCAAGAAAAATGATCCACATAAGATTTATAAAATTACATATCTTCTATTATTCATCGATTCCAGTTTTATGGAGCTCCGATGAATGTATTTGTTGTATTCGTGTGAATCGTAGAAACGTTTTTTTCTTTTTCTTTTTTTTTCCACCAATAAACTAAATGATGTTCTTCCAATTCTATACTCTCGGACAATAGAGATTCATCGAATACACACATACCATACATACATAATAAACAAACACACATATATACTTATATCGATTTCGATTGTTAAAAATTTATTCATTTGCAACGATCTCTTCGTACGTACATCGGCGAGCGACCAGAGTGTAAATGAAATTGTTAAAGGTTATCCACGCGATTCACAATCATCGTTTATCAATGCGTACACATTCATTCCATTGGCTCCCCTTATAAGATTATATTGATCTAATAAGTATTTCGTAAATCATAAAGAAAAGACATTTGCATTGTTTCGTGTTCGATAAGAAAGGAAAAAAAAGGAAAAAAAAAGAAAAAAAAAAGAGCAAAACAAGGACTTTTGTACGGCGCACGACAATTTAAACGTGTATGTTCCCTTCCTTTTATTTTTTTTTCTTTCTCTCTCTCTCTCTCTCTCTCTCTCTCTCTCTCTCTCTCTTTCCCTCATTCTACCTTCTTCTCCATTCTCTCTCTGTCTCTCTCTCTATCTCTTACTCTTTGTCTTTTACTCTTTGTCTTTATTCCCAATCCCCTTTTTTACTCTCTTTCTCTCTCCCCCCCTTCCCCAGCTCCTGTTCGTCTATCGTGTGTAGTGTGTAGTGTGATCGACCGGTTTTCGAGAAGCACTTTTCGTCTTTCATCTTCGCATCCAGCGAGAAAAATGATGCTCGTGTTTGTGCTACGTATACGTCGCGAGTGTCAAGATTACCACGTTGCACAACATCGGTATTTCTAATATTGTACATAATAGCGTATAAGCGATGTATTAGGAGTAATGTTATCTTATTTTGTTTCTTTTTTTTTTTCTATTTTTTTTTTTCTTCGGTCGTATCCAATCGTATATTCACAGGGGTAGAAGAGCTCGATTTTTTTTCTAGGTTGTAGAGCGCTTCTTTCATCGGTCGAGAATGAGTATAAACGTAAGTTCGTGACTATCG